ATTTTTTTCTGCCTCAATTCGTGAAGGACGCGTGGCTCTGGTCGTGGGTCATCCACGCGGAACATATTCGCGCTATGTCATTGGCTGTTGTCTAATCCCCCTTGGGATCTGTGGTCTTAAAAATAACTCGAGATGAATTACCTATGGAATAGGGTGTGTATGGAGGATGCCTTCTCTGTCCCCTTTATCCTCTCTTGCTAGAGTAAATTGTTTTTTGCACTCATTATTTAATTGTTAGAATTATTAAACAGTGGAACTTTTTTCCTAAAGAGATAGTGCACGAACAGGATTTCAGCATTTTTCGAAGTAAACTTAGAAAGTACTGTAAAATTCTGTAATTTTTTTTTAGCCATTTCTTAATTATTCTTAAATTTTACATTGTAGTATATTTATTTTATATTTCATGTAGGGAGCGTCCTCCATAGGGAAAAGGCGAGGGAAATTATAAGGATTTGGACAAAACGTGCGTGAAATTATTCCTTAATTTCACGAGTATACCATTTGATTACCTATTAATATCATGGGTGACGAATTACCTTAGCAATCGAGGATTTTGGACTTGTTTATCCTGGATCGTATCGATCAATCGTGACTCCACTCTTTCAAACGTTTAGAGCGGAAATTTGGCTTAAGTTTTCAGACTTTTTCGACACGATACCTCTAAGAATTCTTCTTGATGTTCTCTTGTGTGTTCAGGTTTTCTAAAGCGTCTTTTTATGCCCTGACATCTTCATTTATGACATTTTAAACTTCGTCGCCATCTTGAAACGGAGACGTACGGCAGGTTGCCATGGCAATTTAGTAATTTCACATGTGAAATTACAAATTAACGCTGAAATTTCACGCCAAAATTAAAGAGTAATTCGTCACCTTTGATATTATTTCCATAACTCTGCTTTCAATTGGGAAGCCTACAATAGCATTGTCTTGGCTGTTAACTGCGCATGTTAACGAAAAAGGAGTAGAGTTGGTTTGGTTTTAGTCGAAATTTTAACGGTCCTTTCTAGGGTCTTTGTTTACTGACAAACTGTGAAAAGACTGCAAGAGGGATTTGCTTTAAGTTGAATAAATCGTTCAGGCTATGACCATTGACACTGAAGTTATGATAGTAACTAGTTTTGACAGTGATGTTTTGCAGAATTTGCATTTTTTCTATAAAAGTCAGCTTTTCATTCTAGATTAAGCTATATTACGCTTTCTTTTTTCACTATAATATCAGATTTATTATCACTGCTATTTTAATCCATGCTTTAGTGACTAAGTATTAAGAAAAGCGCGAATTTTAAATGATAAAAAGACAAATTTTGTGTTTAACTTTCAACACTGTGTATTTATCTTGGAATTTTATTACTGGCGGATTTTTTTCTTTCTTTCTTTTCAGTTTTGTTCTCATTTATGTTCTTTCTTTTTCTCCTCCTCGCCGCTAGAATGACGGGAGAGATAGTTGTTTTCACAGAGTATCTATATATTTTCTTTCTTTTTATTCATGTATTAATATATCACGTTCACATTAATCTATACCAGTCTCAAGGAATTCATTTAATTAATTTGAAATGGTAGCCTTGAACAGAGATGACGAATGTCTAACAATTAACCAAAGGTGCTACTCAGTCAGTTCGGTTTTTTCAGATAATTATCAGAAACCGTACTATCCACCTTATGGTTACTTTTAAGATGGAAATTAATAGCATATGGACTAGCTCTGCCAATGATTCAAATAACATAATGGGTGACGAATTACTCCTTAATTTTGGCGCTTGAAGTCAGCGTTAATTTCTACTTTCACCTAATGATGAAATTACAAAGTAACTTTCCATGGCAACCTTTCGTACGTCTCATTGACAAGATGGCGACGAAATTTGCACTATGCCCGGGCACCAAGTGTGAAGGCTGCCTTAGAAAACCTAAACACACAAAAGAGCACATCAAGAAGGATTCTAACAGACGTTTTGCCAAAAAAAAAAAATTCAGAAAACTCTGAACTTAAGCCAAATTTAAGCTCTTAACTTTTGAGATAGTGGAGTACTCGATTGTTACGATAAAAATAGAATAAACATTTCAAAAAATCCTAGCGAAAATAACTCGCCGCCCATGAAATTGATAGGTAATCAATTCAAGTTGTTTACTGTGAAAATAGGTAATAATTTAACGCATATTTTGTCCAATTCCTAATAATTTACCGAGCCTTTATACACGTGCAACTGTACCAACAGGGAATAGTAAGTAAATTATTTAACGACTATTAAATAAGGCTGAGTATGATGACAAGAATTATGAAGATCTCGGAGGATGCTAACAAACTTTAACCTCCTCGTATGCTTTCTTCAAACTTTGATCCATTTCTCGGCACGGTTTTAGGTTTCCCAGGTGGTTATTTTGCTTCGTCTTCGGATACTGTTAAACCCATTTTTCTTTTGTTGGCTATTGCCTATACAAGCAGGCTCGTTTCCAGGCAAATATACCATCGGTCAACCTCATACCATCGAATCGATTCCTCGCGTCTTCCAAACATTGTAATTGCCAGTTGGTTATCAAGAATTAGCCGGGTATAGGAGCTAATCAGAGAAGGAAAAAAATTTCGAATGAATAATAATCTGTGGTATTTTGGAGGGCGTATCGTCAGAAGCCTGGAATCAGGCTGCTTGGTAGGGAAAAACTGGAGGAAAAAAAGAGAAAAACAAAAACGGCCAGCGCAGCGAGTCGATTGAGGGATGGCTACTTAATATAAACGGCTCTTGTCTCCAACATTTCCCATTTCCGCTCTATTGCTTTGTTTTTCCTCGCCGTCTCCATCCGTTCACCATATAGGACTACATATAAGTTAAAATTAATTGTAATTGCTCTTAAAGGGCCGCGTCTTTGAATAAATTTGAATTATTAAATAAATCTCTTCGTCTTTTTTTAATTTCTGCTTGTGGGAGTAGCAGAAGACTTTTTTAATAGGCGAAGTCGCCACTGGCAAAAACAACAACAAAAAAATTGTTACCTTTTTGGCGCCCGGTGGTTAGGGAAGGGGCTTTCCCATAACTCAAAATGCACCATACTTAACCAAACCCTTCCCTCCGCCACCCAAAGTTCACATAAGTATTGTTTTTAATGTCTCTTTGAAGGAATGTAAAACCCAGGAGACACTAGATACAATCTTTTTGCATTTAATTTGGAACGGGGAACAGAGAGGGGGTGGGGAAAGGTGTATTCCAGGCAATACGTAAGTGGTAAAATACATTGTAATATGATTTCTCCTCTGTTATACACGGAAGGTTATAGAAAACAAGATCTAAATCTAGATGAGTATATCCTGGATTTATTTGTATGATGATACAGTACAGACTGGTTTCCAACATATTGCTGGATGTACACTATCTAACTGAAAGCAATTAATTCCTTATTTTTTATTTACAGCGACTTGTATCTAATTATGTACACTAAATACAACGATGGTGCAAAAATTACTTAAGACGTGCTGGAATCATTATACTCATCATTATTATTAATCATTTTTTTCCCTTTTTACTGCTAATTTTACCCTGTCTTCCATGAAAATCCTTAAATAAGAGTGACCGAGACCAGGTTTTATGAGCCTGCGAGATTGCATGAGAGTCCTACTGAGCATCTCACACAAAGCCTTGCTTTCACAAAAACCGCTGGACGCCAACCTGATTGAGGTCTTTGTTATCTAAGGTCTTCCATTTTTCTTAGGCACCGTGAGCAAAACCATAGTCCTTCGTAATAAAGAGTACACTTAGCTAAAAGAACTTTTATCAGAATATGAGCCGTTCCCAAATTACTATTATTATTATTATTATTATTGACTGTTATTACCATTGTCATGATCACCTTCATTATCATTACTATTATTATCAGCGTTACCAGTATCATATGCACTAGCATCAAGAAATCGTAAATTAATTTTTTTTTGTTTTGTTTGTTTGTTTGTTTGTTTTTTTTCCGGAGAGGGGAAAACCGGAGTACCCGGAGGAAAACCTCTCGGAGCGTGGGAGAACCAACAACAAACTCAACCCACGTATGGCTTTAGCGTTTTCCTAAGCATCGTAAGCATCAGCATCATTATATTATTGACTGTTATTACCATTGTCATTACCACCTTCATTATAATTACTATTATTATTATTAGTGTTACCATTATCATTAGTACTAACATTAAAAAAATTGTAAATTGTATTTTTTTTTTCTACGGAGAGGGGAAAACCGGAGTACCCGGAGAAAAACCTCTCGGAGCATGAGTGAACCAACAGCAAACTCAACCCACATATGGCATTAGCGTTTTCCTAAACATCGTAAGCATTAGCATTACCATAATCATTATCAATAACATTAACATCAACATCAACATCAACATTAACATTAACATTAACATTAGCATCAGCATCAGCATTAGCATTAGCATTAGCATTATTAGCATCAGCATTAGTATTAGCATTGGCATTAGCATTAGCATTAACATTAGGACTAGCAATAGCATCAGTATTCGCATTAGCATGCTGGAAATTCAGAAAGCAGCGGCCGGGACACTTGCAAGCTACTGACTTGTCGCCGGTAGTCTCTTTTGTAATTAAATATAACGAGGGATTCGCGTGGAAGATACGCGAGGGGGAAATGGTCTCCCGCGACCATTTCGTGACCGCCTACAAATGATAAGAGATGACAGGGGAGTCAGTACCAACTATATAGATACTATTTATTTCATTGAGAATTATTTAAGTAACGGTCCAGGAAGGAAGGAAGGAAAGAACCAAACGCAATGAACATGCAGGGAAACAAAAAGGTGCTAACTTTACTATTGCCTCTATACTATAAATCTGATTGGTTAAGACAAATTTTATGAAACCTTCGCAAAGCAGCATTCATATTTATCCTTTGTTTTCTAGACAACTTCCTTATATCAAAATCTTGACGAGGAACATGTAAACTTGTTAACTTTTCTTGGCTATTGTTTGCAAGTCTTATGATTGGTTGAAATCCTTTAACACACACACACAAAACGTTTTGAAAATGGAGTTTGAATACATCTTTTATTTCGTAAACGGCCTTTTTGTAGCTATAAGCATTCTCTGTATGAAAATGAAAACATTTCTATGTAGGGAAAGTGTATTGCGCCATGCGTATTGTTGTAAATTGTGCCATGTGCATTGCGTCTTACCTGGATCATTACTTAAAAATAATGAGTGGGGTGGCCGGGTCCACTCAGCCGACCCCTAAATCCGCCCATGTAATATCATCGTCATCCTCATCACGTCATCCCCATCATTATCATCAATACCATTATTATTAACGAAAAGTAGAGCCTGATCGCAGGTTAACACAAAACAAGCATCAATAAGTATGTTCATTCAAATGGTGGCGACTGAAATTCGGGAATAATTTCACGCGCGTATTGTCCAAATTCCAATAATTTCTCCAGCCTTATATTAACTATTAATATCACGGGTAAGAAATTATCCTGAAGATCGTGTCTTTTTTGTTTTTTCTTTTGTTTTGTTTTTTGTTTTTGTTTTGTTTGTTTGTTTTTTGTATCGTTACTTGTTCATCGATTGAGCACTCCTCGCACTGAAAAGTTTATAGCGTAAATTTTGGCCTAAGTTTGTTAAGTCCACAGGTTTATGTATTTTTCGAAAAAAAAAAAAAGAGAAAGAAAGAAAATTTTCTTGCTATAATCTTTCTCGATGGGCCCTCTCGTGTGTTTAGGTTTTCTTAAGCGTCGTTTACTGCCCTGAGTCAACTTCATTCATACTATTTTAAAAATTCTTATGAGACGTATAGAACATTGCCATTATGGCAACAATTTCACATTTGAAATTATAAATTTACGCTGAAATTTCGTGCTAAAATTAAGGAGTAATTTGTCACCCATGATATTTAGTTTAGAATAACCTCACATTTGTGTCCATTCCCAAGCGTCTCATTATATTTCTGTTGGTTCACCGGTCTCCCAATGTGGTACCTGGGAATAAAAATAAGGAAAGAAAGAAAATATATCAGAAATTTAAGGGGAAAGTTTTTGGTAAATATTGAACACTTACTGACTGGTCCCAAGGGAAACAAAACTAACAGTTTCCGTCGGGACCAGTCTTTAAGTTATTTGTTATATTAAGCTCACGAAGAAAACTTTTTCGTGTACAAATTTATAAAAATAAATCTTGCCAGTGGTCAACATTTGCTGGTAACAGTGCACTGTTATCCTCTGACGTCATAGATTTTGGCGGGTTAAACAGTTTTATTGCTAGATTTCATGTGACTTCGAAGTAACCAATGAAAACACTCGTTGTTGCAACCCAATTTCCAACTATATAACGACACTGGATACTTTCCACGGTGGGACACTGTACAAATCCAAACTTTTGCTTGGTAAATTGAATTGTTTTGTAAGCGAGAAAGGTGTCAATATTGTGGCTTAGTCATCCTATTCATTTACTTATATTTATTTATTTATTTATTTATATTCACTTCATGTTACTTCATTATTTGGATTTTCACCGATAAACTCAGCCTAGACTATACACTCACTCACTCACTTGGTCGCCCGAAGGCGGGCAACCACTAGACTATAACTGAAATTCTTTGTCTTAAACTCCTAAATATGAAAATATATTTCGATTTTATTTCTTCCTAGAACTGACAATCCTGGATCGAGTTTATGTGATAAACACCAAAAATGCTCAAGTAGATTAAGGCCTGGGTCTTAACAAATTTTTCAGAATTTTTGAAGGGGGTGGTGTAAGGTAAAGTATTTTTAACAAATTCCGTGACTAATAATTTAATGCCAATCATAACCAAGAAATCTTCCAATTTCATTTTAAAAGTGTTTATAACTGCATCACGTGACCACCCACGCCCTGTTTTATCCAGAAATCTCCTAATAAGTGTCACAATGTTTCTTAACGCAGTTAATGAACTGTTTAAGATAATTGAGGTCGAATTCGCGTATACGACGGATTCTATGCAATTATGATCTCTTTTTTTCAGTGCCTGCTGGGTGCTAAAATTTTAAAATATTATTATACTAACACTCCCAAAATACTTCTGTTGTAATTTCATATTTTTTCAACCCAGTAGCGCAAACCTTTCATTGTTCCTAAATCTTAAATCATCATTAAAAGTACAAAATAAATCAGTTGAACTTATAACTTACCAGAGGCAAGCTGGCGCTTAACTGTTCTGTTTCCAATAGCACTACTTCCACATCATCGCTTTGTTTCTGCAATAATTTTGTGGTAAGTCTCATGACGGAAGCATCACAAGATGGTAGAGTAAAGGTAACTTTCTCAGGTATCCTCATTTCATCTATTTTGCATCTTTCAACCTATCAATAAAGGGCAAGTATTTGTCTGTTAGTAAAATCCCCCCCCCCTCCCCACAAAAAAAAATAAAATGAAATTTAAAAAAATGAAAAACTAAGTTAACCCTTAGCACTCTTTTCCTGATGGAATAATGTCATTTAAAAGCGTTAAGTTAGTTAAGAAAAAATTAAAAACAAACGAACAAACGAACGAACACACAAACAAAATTTGAAGGAACCAGAAAAAAATCAGAATGATCCCTTTTACTAAACATTTGATACCCATACAAGACAACTGGAGATAGAGCCGAAAGATTCATGCAGTTTTTACAAACTACCCTTCAATTTTCTTAGGTGTAAAAGATAATTGGTCAACATATGTTCTGTAAAATAGCACGGTAACAAACTGAAGCGAAAACATGCATGAAACCCACTAAGTTAAAAAAATGTTAAAATCTTAACAGTTTTAAAGTAATATTTATGAAACTGCAAAAGTTAGATTCGTTTGAAGCAATGGCAATGCAGCCAGCCGTTTGCCAGCCAAATATTTTGAAATTGCTTTCAGGTTTTAAAAATCCAGGGGGTCAATGGGAATGGTATAAGCTTTGATGAAAAAAAAAATGTCAGAATAATTTTTTCGCACTATTATTATTATTATTATTTTTATTGTTATTATTATTATTAATATCAGTATTATTACCGGCTCACTAGCTGAGCTAAAATCTTCCATCTTCATCTGTACAATAAGCATCTCATCATTTTTGCTCTTTTTCCAGCAAAATCTATCAGAGTAAACTTTAATCATTCCCAATCTTTTTTTCTCCTCCTGGAAATAAAGAGAGGGTATCAAAGTTACTTTATCAGCGCCGCCGTTTCTAATTAAATTGAGGGTGAAATGACGCTCCCTTGAAGCCTAAACTGCATACTTAATACTACCCATATATTTACTTACTCACTTACATACGCTATACCACTACCCACGCCCAATAAGTATTCACAGCAAATCTGAATAATTTACATTCTGTAACCTCTAGTTGAATATTATCAATTTATTTATTGATATATTATTTATTATTTTTGTAAATGATATTGTGCTAGACGCTAAACATTACCTGCAGAAAAGATAATCTGTCATTTTCTGCGTCTCTGCTTATAAACACAAAGAGCTGTTTCCTTGATTCACATCTCCCATGAGTTCCAGGCTGCACATAGCTGAATATATCAAGGATATATTTTTCATCCGCGCAGCCTAAATCTGTACATTGGCGTTGTCGAGGTAAAGAAATATTATCAGACATTCTTCAGAGAGCTAGAAAAACAGAAAGACAATTTTGTAAGTGATTTTAACGTATTATGTAGACTTGCCGCGATAGGGCATTGAATTTATTTATTTATTTTTTTCTTTACAAATCAACAATGATGTCGGAATTATGAGCTAAACTGAATCAGGCGAGAAAATTGACCCATAGCAAACCAGACCGTGACTTTTCAGGAACTCTGAATCTTTGTTTTGAGCGAATAATTATGTAGTAGTTAAGTGTTATAAAATTATTCGATTTTAATATCCGTGAAATTTACTTCTGGCAAGCACTTAAAAGTCACAACTGAGCGTGAATTAAACCACAAAAAAGGATTGCTTGTTGCTTTTACTCCCCTGCCCTGTTTTTTATTTATTTATTTATTTAAATTAAATAATAAATGATCCTTACATAAATTTATTACGCGGTGCTGTGCAGGAAAAAAACTACAATACGAAAGTTCAGCAACAGTATGTTTATTCCGCCAAAGTAGTAGGGGATTCCCCTACCATTTCTGATCGATTCGGCATGTTTATTTAATCAGGGAAGCCTGGAGGCAAATGAAAGTTTTGGTAACAAAAGCTCTGTTTATGATCTCAAATGGTTACGGTATTTTAGTTGATTTTCTGTAATCTTATCACTCCAAACGGTTAGGCCATTCACGTTGAAAAGGCCTTTAACGTTGCAACTTTTTTTGTAAACAAATAATCCAGCAGATAATATTATTTCCCTTGCTCACTATGCTACGTATTAAAGTTCCCTCCTATGTGGGTTTTAACAAATTGCGGACATTTTGACATTTCAGTAACATTTTTTTATTACCAACTAAATTTGTATTGGGTGCTAAAATCAAAATTCCTAATCAAAGCGCTTTGAGACTATCGCTGGGCGCGAAATGCAGAAGAATCAAATCGCGAGACAATGGTATGGCCTAATTCAGAAACCTCACACGCCATAGATTCAGCACGAACCCTTGATCACACCTGATTATTATTTTCCCCAATATATACAGCTATTTCGAGAAAGGTTGTCAGAAAAATGTGCAAGCGACAGTCCCGAAAGGTAATTTGGGATATGTTCAATACACTTTTCCTGACACTGTAGCTGTCAAACCTACTTTTGTTGCTTTCCTTTAGCATTCGCAGACCTATGTCCATGGATTCTCTTTCACATTTCTTTGAAAAACAGTGAAATCAACACCACCCACAATACCTTTCAGGGTTGTCGCGTGCACTGTAATTTATCAGACAACCTTTCTCGAAGTAGCTGTATATATAAAATATATATACACTTGTTTTCAAAAAGGTTGATATTTCAAAAATATATATATCTTTTGCTTCTCTGCGCGAAACAAAAGAAAAAACAAAAGGTATATATATTTATATATATTTCTGAAATGTCAACCTTTTTGAAAACGAGTATATATATACTTTCCTTGTATATCAAAATACCAAAAACAGAAGGCAGTAGTCATTTTAAAACGACAAAGTTGTACTATAGTTGGCAAGGGAAGGTTGAGGAAATCGCTATTACCGGTAAATTACGATTTTCGATAATGAACTTACTTGCCAGTCGATTTTGATAAAGGACTATTCACATTACAGGCTGACCAAGATCAGTGTGTTCTTTTGACCCTTCAGTAGTAGCAGTGAACTGCTTTAGTCGTTCATTCATGTGTTCTTTACCAGACTTGACAACCTTACCATAAAAGATTTTGTCACTCCTCTGTTTCTTCGAATTCGTTACCATCTTTTATACGTAACACGTGACGGTCGCTCAAGGGCACACATAGCTATTTGTGTCCCCTGAATTCTGGAACATTTCTATTGTCTTTACTCTTCTGTTTATAATCGAAAGGGTCTAAAGTATAAAATTGAGCACGTGTGGAAATTTTCATGGATCTCGTGACATTGGTATGAGGAAAAATGCCGTCGTAGCAATAGAGATTTCGAAAGTGTACAACTTCGCGCTTAGCAACCCGCAGCCGGGGATTCCCCGCGATAATTTGCATTTTTGCTTTCAAAGCGCTTTTATTTTCGAAGGGAAAAAACCCTGTTTACAAGTAAGAAAAACAAAGGTGATTGCAATGTTTCTTATGATCATGAAACTTTTGGTAAACAGTTTTCTAGTGGTTAAACAGAACAAAGAATGAAGTATACTTGAGGAATGGGAGAAAATATAAAGCGTTTAACATGTAGTTTGCGTTGTACTTATTGTATCGCCCGGACTTCATAAAAGAATGCTTTCGTCGTCGGTGGTATATTTAAAAAGCTTTTCGCAATATATTTTTCTAGATAACTCGATGTTTTTCATTTTATACTATTGCTAAATAAATCTTTGTTGAATCTCACAGCTCACAGCTCTTGGCTTTCTTTTTAAGTTTTCACTAACGGAAGAAAGGGATTTGTTTTAACATGTATCTTGCCAAGGTTAATGTCATATCAACACAAAAGAATAGATCCTGTGACGTTTTCAAGAGGGAAAAACCCCTCCAAAATCGATTCATTTTATTGGTTATGAGCTGAAACGGAATTTTTGCACCAATGACGTAAACAACAGAGGGTGACAATTATAAAGAAGGTACAAACACTTGGCAACACTGAACGACCTCACTAAGGTCCGCGTCACGCGAAGAACTGCTCAAGATCGGAGCTTGATGAAGTATTGCACATGGGTGAGTACAAACCAAAAGAAAACATGTAGAATGAAATGAAATAAGCACGGAAAGTTAACAGGGCATATGAGAAAAAAAAATTCTTAAAATTATATCTCTAAGTTGAAAGTGAAATCAAGAATACTCTAACGGCCGATGATCATCATTGTCATCAATTTGTTGTTCATACTGTGCGTCTGCATTTTCTGCGTTGCCAGCATCCAGAAACAAGGATGAAATAGCTAGAAATCACTTGTGCGATATATACATGTATTTATATATTGAATATAAAGTGCAAAATAAGTCCCAATTTAACAATTGTCTCTGATATTCATTCCAAGAAAATCCACCAACTAGTTAAAGGTGGCTCTGGCTGGAGTCCACGCACCAGAATAATTTTTGAATTGTTCGTTCGGCAGACAGTCAAACAGGGATGAATTATGCAGACTAAAAAAATGGCACAGTCGACAAAGGATTAAATAAAGATTAGTGCCCGACGCTTGATAAGGAGTGAAATGCTGCGATCCGCCGGATAAAGCATACTGCGGACCATACTAAAAATACAGATTAGTGTAAAATGCAGATTGCAAAGCAGGGGTTTAACGCTTGTTTAGGATAAAAGGTAGTGCTCTAGACGTGAAACTGACCAAGTAGTAGTAGCCTTTTCAGAATCCTTTTCCGCCCTGTTCTCTGTTAATCTCTTCGATTTTCCAGAGTGTGCTCAGACATGTTTGACTAAGTTCTCTACCACTTGTTTATATTGTCAATTTTGAATACTTTGGGCGGTCCCTCGAGGCGTTTTAAAGTGGGAGCGAACGAGGCAAATGCACTAGCTCCTGAGAACTACTCATGCAGTCTACATTTACACTTATCAAGAAATTACTGCGAGTAAATGGTTAAGTACAGAAGTGTCCACCTACGTAATCCACATTATTTGCCACACTATAACCTAAACTCGTTTTCTGTAAACCGTTTCCAGTGGCTAAAACATGACATCAACCCAGAGACTGCTGACATTCCGCCGGCTCCATTCCATTCATTTCCTATAGCCAACGGAAAGTTTTAGAAAATAAGTGAGTAACTCGTGGTCAGTAGTGTTATACTTATTTATAAACGAACTGTTTATAAATAGATCTAAATAGGCTAGGAAGGTCTTGAAATGTATTTCAGTAGACTACAGAACATAATAACTTGCCTTAGGGCCTGTTTTAACATTGAGGTGGGGAACCCTAGGTAGATGAGGTTACCCGTTTGTCCAGATAATCTCTCATTGTAATTTGATCAGTTTACATGATAGGTGGGGTGACCCGCCACATGTTACCTCACCTATCCGGAGTCCCCGACCTCCATGTAAACAGACCCTTGATTTAACTAAATACTCGGAAAGCACATGGTCACAGCACTGCTTTTTTAGCTCGAAGGGCCATGAGGCGCTTAAAAGGCTGGACATTCCACTTTTGCAGAAAATCTGGTACAAAACACTGCTCTGTTAGATCTAGAGAGCGATGACGCGGACCGAGAGTCAGAAGTCCAAATCAGCAGCTGTTATACGATCCATGGTGGTAGTCTATCTACACCTCCGTCGACTCTGATTGAGCACTGCTGTTTGGTGACTCGAGGCAATGAGTGGGTCATCGAGGTAAAATGTTGCCCCGTACAGCACGACATCCGAGAAGGTTCCCAACAAAAAAGGAACTGGAGAAGCCTAATGGAGGTTTACCCCAACGCTGTTGTGAAACAAAAACACAACGATACTGAGGTTATTTTGCCATCTCTTCGGGAAGACGTGGAAATAGCAGCGTTTGGAAGGCCTGGAAAAGATGACCGGAAAAGAATGCAAATGGCGATCTTTGCCAGTCGTCCAACCCAAGGACGAGACTGGAAGATTTGGGTTTATCTCGTAGATGATACAAATCCTGCTTGCAAGGTAACAAGCAATTTTCTATTTCTCTAAACAGGTTACTTAAAAGAGAAAATCAACCTGTACTCTTTTTTTCTGGACCCCAACCTAGCCATTATCCATCAAAGTATAATTTTATAATATACAGACTTAACCAGGGTTAAAAGCGAAGTTCTCGTTAACTAGATACTTATAAACAAACAAATAATAAAATTGTGTAATGCTTAACGGCGATGGCAATTGCAATGAGAACTGTAACACATTCAAAAGGTCTAATTAGCTAGTGAGAATACACTTTCACGTCGAGAGAGACTCGACTTTGTTGTTGTTTTTTCTCTCTAAAAGTCCGGGTGGCCCTGAGATTTCCCGCCAAAAACACCTCCAGTTGCCTTTAGTGTCATACCTGTTAATTGAGTTATTTTACATTGGTATGCCTGTTGTGCGGACAGTCGGATGGTCGGACGTACGGTCACGTGATTACCAAAATTTCTCGGATGGATGGGTTACCAAATTTTCTTAACGTATGGGGTTCCGCCATAAGGTTCAGTCTTGGGCCATTCTGTCTCAGAAGTGTGCAGGCATATATTAGTTAGTTAAATAGCTATTTAGATTTTGCTGGTCATTCGGAGAGGTTTTCGAATTGCGCCGAATGTATTTTTCAATAAACAGAGTATTTGCCATGAAGAAGACAAAAGAGGAAACAGGCTTCTTTCACCATGTTCTGGGATGTTCGTGTCGAACAGCAAAGAAGACATCACAATCGAGCTCAGTGCACTCGAGCCTGGATGGAAAATCAAAGGAAGCAGTATAAAGGTACGAAAGGAGAACTATGAGGTCACATTGGGGTATAATAAGATGCATCGGCAAAAGCAAACATATGAGAGTTTCACGTTTCAACACCTTATGTGGTTTCTGGAGAGATTTAATACATAATTTTGCAGCAGTATCACCCTTCGACAGAAAAAAATAATAATTGGTGCTGCACGTTTTGCAACTGCAATAATCCTTACCCTTTTTTTTATTTTCTGAGGCGTTTATTAGGTTTCCCTCATATCTTCGATTCATCAGTCACTCAACACCCCTTTTTCAAATCCACGCTTCTTCTTATAATCTGCTACACAGCCGTTTGTAAGGTAGTCACGGAACGCTCCTCCAGCGTTTCGTGACGACACCAAAAACGGCTGTGTAGCAGACTATTCTCCTTACAGGTGTGCCAAAAGACAATCTCTATGTGAGTCGCATTTACCACCTAAAAAGCTCGACCTCGAGTGGATTGACTGATTAACTGTATCTATGCTGCCATAAAAATGGAAACCATTTACAACAGAAACAGTCAAGGCTTTAGAAATTACCGCTGATAACTTATCCATCATGTATGATGTATTTTCAGACTATCAAATCAAGAGATGCTTGGAATTCACCAGAAAACTCAGTTGATTTTCCACGCTGCTATTTTGAAATAAGACACGTGGACAGAACAAAACAATCATTTTTCTGCAGAATAAAGGCTTCCCACGAAGGAGACGTCGCCCGCGCAGAAATTGTGGGGTATTTTGAAAGGGTAAATTTTATGTTATAAATTGCACAAGGCGGACTCTGTTGATTAATTGGATTGAATTAGAAGTAGAAATTTGACAAGAAAATGAGTGCAGTACACCCCTTGACAAATTCGCACTAGAGATGACTTTCAGCCTGTTTTTTTCTTCTTCTTCTTCTTCTTCTTTGGGTAGACAACACTTTTAAAAATGACGGCTAACTTTTTTTTTATTATTATTTTGTAGGAAAAAGGTCGCCAAGTCATCCAGACTCATAGAGGTTTTAAAAAACTGAGCAACCCTGATTGCGATTTTTCAACAAGTAAGACCAAAGTGGACGCACGGTTGTAATTTAGCTCATGTAACACCTTGTGCCAACATTATGTTTTACTAGCTAATTTTTCTTTAATGCATTTTTTTATTATTTTTGTCACTTTTTAGAGATAAACACCTCAATTCCGACGTTCCTTTTTGTTCTTTTTGTCTTTTTTGCTTCGTCATTGTCTCGCCCAACGCTTAGCAGGTACGTTTAGATAACGGGTCCTTAAAGGAAATTTATATTTCTGAAAGAAATAAATGGTTTTGATACAATGCCGCTAAAATTTGCAGAGACCAACAGACATTTAATGTCTGATCCAGAGACTGAAATGATGTTTGTGTTTCCAACGGTCTTGACTACTCGAGGGTAAACGGAACTGCTTCCCGTGAAGTCTTTTGTTATATAGCAAAGAAGGCAGAATTAAAGAAAAGCCTTGTTTATGAGAAGGGCGAAGATATAAGAATAGTAACGAAACAAGAATTCTTAACTTCGCAAATACTATTTAATAACCTGGCACAAAACTTTTTGAGACGAATAAGAAATATATATTTTACTCTGTCAAGCCGGACAAACACGAGAATTATACACACAAACAACAGTGGAGAGTGAGGGGGCGGGGGGGGGGACCTATATTTGGCCAGGAGGAATGGGTTTAAAGGGGGAAAATAGGAAAATAATTGGACTGGGTCCCTTTTTTTTGGTGTTTTATGAGTTTTTGGACTTATTAATGATTAGAAACGGCCCACCCCCTATCCTTTTCTGCAAGACCACAAACAAATAAATTTCCCTTAAATTACTAAAAAAAAAAAAAAAAAAAAAAAAAAAAAAAAAAAAGAAAAAAAAAAAAAAAAAAAAAAAAAAAAAAAAAAAAAAAAAAAAAAATAAAAAACAAAAAAAAAATAATAAAAAAAAAAAAAAAAAAATAAAAAAAAAAAAAAAAAAAAATTTAAAAACCCCAACCAACCCAACAAAAAACAAAAAATAAAAAAGAGAGGGGGGGGGGGGGGGGGGGGGGGGGGGGGGGGGGGGTACTATATTTTGCTCAGACGAAATGGTTTTAAGGGGGAAAATTAGAAAATATATGGAACTGGTACTCTTCTTTTCGTTGTTTATGATGTGTTAGACCTGATAATCGATAGAGAGCGGCCCACGCATATCCTTTTCGTGCAGACCACAAACAATATAATTTTCCTTGAATTCATTCAACAGAAACAACTCAAATGCCGCAACAACTTAGGAGAATGACGGTTGAACCAAGAGAAGCTATCTGGAAACTTGCATTTAACCCAAAACGATGTTTTGGTGTCAACAGACCAGCTTCGAGCCGCAGAATGGCTACTTAAACTAGTTCCAGCCTCAAGGATCAAGCCGAGCCTCAACATGTTACTAATTTACACATATTTAGATTAAACTGCTCATTCCATGACCAACTGTCTTAAACATGCTCATTTAGCATGCTTGTTTCCTTCTAGTATGTGATTTTATGTGATCATATACCACGCTGTAATACATGATCAAATATTACAGTTCAAGTTGCTAATAGTTTCTATATTATTGTTTTTTTTCTTTCTAAAATTCAGTTGAGAGTGATAGTCAAAGTTTATAACGGAACAATTTTGGATCCGTCTACACAGCTCTTCCAATATTGTTGGGGCCACGCATACATGATTCACTTGTGCTCAGGTAAATTAAGGCATGGGCCTCAATTTACTTTAATTTGTTCTATGCAAAAGTGAGGGGGTGGTCTATATCTAAGAACTTTAGATGAAGAGACATAAAACTTTGCCAGCTACCCACATTTTTAGTTTGTGTCAATTTCGTGCTTTTAAATTATGCAAATTAGGCCACGTGACTTCCATCGGCTGAAAAAGCTTTTTCTTGAAACGGCAACACTTTTTCGTGTGTCCTATATTATTTTACCGGGGCCTTTAAATATATCACGTCTGTGCTTGGCCTTTTTTAGATATTTGAGGTCGAAGGCGTTAAGATGGGATACAATTAATTTAGGGGGACTGGGTCTAGTTGAAAAAGCCGCTTATTTTCTAAAACAGTAAAAAATTCAAAAAAGGCCAAGCACAGTTTTGTAGATGCTTGCATTACACATTGCTTCTGTCCTAAACCAGTCCGGTTTAATAACTTACAATAAAAAGTGTTGCCATTTTTCAGCGTTTAAAGACTTTTTATTGTTTTCTGACCGTGTGGAGTCACGTGACAACATTTGCATAATTGAAAATCACCTAATTGACAGAAACCACACATGTATGTATCTGGCAAAGTCTCATCTTTCTACTGCTTAAGTGTTCAGAGATAGACCACCCCCCATCACTTTCTGACTGAATCATTGGGGACCCATGCCTTAATTTACCTGAGTGTCGCAATATTCTGTCGGCAATTACAACTCCCAACAGTCTGGGGCAAACAAAGCCGGTTGGAAGTTGTAGGGCCCGTTTGCACATAGTTTTAAGAAGATGGCTAGACGCAACAACAACAATCTTTTTTGTACTCACTAAAAAATATATTACAATGAAATTATTAAAAGACTAAATTAGAGTTCTGGCTGCCTGGAATAACCATAGGGGCTAGCGAAGCCAAGCAGCCAGTAGACATAGCATTAAATAGAAACAATTAGTTAAAGGTCAGCAAGAAAACTGAGGCACAAATGCACACATGAAAAGGAGGGAAAAGAGAAGAGGAATTACGCTATTTGTACGCTATTAAGGAAGTCTGAAATAGTTAAACTTATATGTGAATACAATAAATTCGTGAATTCTTCGGTCGTTAGACCTCCCATAAAGGTACGTAGATGAAACACGAAATAAGAAGAAAAAAACAAGAAAAAGCAGCTCCACTGTAAATTAATTGAGCTAAAAAAAATACCCCATCTGTCCCGCTTAACGCAGACCGTTCCTTTTGATGAACTGCTAGCGTTTTTAAGGGATGTAAGTTAATTCAGTATTTATTAAAAACGTTAAAGAGATTGTTGGCTTTTTGTTAGACCACATAAAGACCAGAGAAAGATCGTTTGCGTTTTTCTATAGTGAAACAAACAGAAAGAAAAGAAAAGAAAGAGAGCAAGGAAACGGTCAATCGGAGACATTAACTAACTTCATTTTAAAACTCGTCTAGAGAGCTACTTTGACTGCGACGGTGAGGAGACGAAATGGATTGAGGCACCCGCTTAAAAGGAAGATTCTTTTAGATGATAACTCAGCTACTGGCAGAACAAGAGTGGAAAGCACTTAAGCCAAAAGGAAAAAAATTATTTCGTTAGGCGTAGAAACCATGGCTAAAGCTTATAAACAGCTTATAAACAGTTTGAAAATCATCACCCAAGTTAATGAAACTTAAACGGTCGCATGAATTGCAACAGACATCGAACTTTAAAACGACTATTCGAATTATGCACATGTATAATGATATAATTTCAGTAATAGGGAAAACGAAACGAAACGAGGGGTACTAAATCCTAGCTGTGACTACTCCAAACCAGCGACCTACTCACAATGAGTAAACGATAGCTCACGCGCTCAGTCGTCAGAGGTCTTAACTTAAGTAACTAGAAGGTAATGAATTCGATTTCTAGGGTCTTGGATTTAATAACAATAATAATAATAATTAATAATAAATCTTTATTTAGTAATAATGATGATAATTATGAATAATAATAAGAACAAGAAAAAGAACAAGAAGAAGATATTACTGTAGTACAAAAAGACACACAAGAGTCGACACTTACCGACATTGCTAAGCCAGCGGATCTTCAAAAATATTAACAATTATCATTATCAATGACAATAATATTGATAACAATGAAGAATAACTGCAGCTTTTACTCTGAAAAAAATAAGTCATTTTGGATTCTCATCACTTTATGTTGAAAATTTCATACTATAGACAGTGCGATGAAAGATTTAATGAAAACGAAGGAAAACGGAAACGGAGTTTGAGCGTGCAAAGTAAGCTCAAGTATGACCTCGTTTACATGGAAACGTGCAGATTATCTTACAGTACTGTACGTTTACACCAGCCTAGTCCCTTGGCGTTCTCTCTTGATCCGTTTTCCGCGCGAAGTCCGGAAAAGTACGAGTATCTCTCGGTGAAGTCACGGCAGAGTCAAGGATTGACCGAGCCGAGAATGCCTAGGGACTACGCTGCGTTTACATGAGTCCGTGCAAATTTTTGCTTATGTTACTATTGGAATGACTTTTTTTGTCATCAAAGGCGCGCGTAACTAGGCTTTAAAGGCTTTTATCGGGAAAACTGTGCGAAAACTTGCACACTTCTCAGTTCTTTACACGATTCCGCGAAGCACTGGAACCATATACCGGTCAAAAATTTCAGACCTACTTTTGATCGGGTGAAAAACTTGCCGTGACACTTTGGTCGTTCAAAAATGTCTGCGGAACCTTGTAAACGGGGTCTAAGGAAGCTTCAGATAAACAAACTCTTTAAAACCGTCAAAGATGGACATAGGCAACTCGATTTTTCGTTGTTATCGTCGTGAACCATTCTGACGTAAGGATTTATTCCAAGAAAAAAAAAATGCTGGATTGAATTATATCAGTTGGCCTGCATAAAAACATCTGTAATCAGTAGGTATCGATCGATAATCAATATGTTATCGATGAATAATCAATAGCATCAGTGACATAGACCATTTAGACGCGAAATTGATAAACTTTCAAAGGTTGGTCATTGATTAGGCATTGATCGTCGGTTTATCATTGCCAGCAAGGTAGCCTGCGAATTGCAGACTTATTTCCGGTCGCTGCTTCTCTCCCTCCGAAAAATAACTAGTATCGGAGGGAGACATGCGACGACCGGAAACACGTCTGCAGTTCGCAGGCTACCAGTAAGGATCAGTAAGGGCCTGTTTACCTGGAGGTGGGGGACCCAGATAGGTGACGTAAACTGTTCAGGCTGGGTAAAAAATAACATGCGTTTCGCGTTTACATGCTATCGTACAACCCCGCCACCCCAGAGTGCACTTTTTGAAAAGTTTTGAATGGTCGCTTTAAGCACGTACATCTAATTGCGGTAATGTCGTCGTAGAAAAAATTAAAACAAAAAGAATTTAGAAAAGCTAAATAGGATTACATTTGGCAAGCTCACTATAATCAGGGATCTGTTTAAACGAAAGAATGAATCAAGCATATACACAACTTTGCTACGGCCAATTTACCATTAACATCCCCATACCCTTAGATAAGGAGGGGGGCGGTCTCCAAAAAAAAAATGGCCCCTCGGACCTCAGTTTGGTCTAATAATAAGGAGAGGGGTCCCCGGTCCCCTCCCCTGGATCCGCCACTGGAAAATACAACGGGCTCATGTCACGGTGCGGGGTTTCATTCCTTCCTTAGCTATTAAGAGAAAATCAAAATGGATTAACTGTGTGAGATGGACCATCAGTTTTCATGGGAGTTGTGTAAATTTTTAATGTTCGGTGCCATCTCAGATCGAGAAAACAAATTCCTTATTAACCAAAGTCAAGTTCACCTCAATCGACCCAAAACGCAGCTTCAAAATGTCGGAATGAGATACTCTCTCGGTAACATTTACTTTGGGAAGGCAAGAAATGGAACAGTTTTGAAAAATGGAAACGATGGGATTGCATCAGTCAGATATTCAGTTCTGTTCTCAACAACAGCCTTCCACCCCAATAATTAGCGACAAAATTTCTGGTTAATTATACCTGAAGTTGAAGTTGAAGTTTATTAATTCATAAATACGTACATACCGCATTAGCAGTTCGAAAACTGCGCATTTACGTTACAAAAATTAAATTATGGATCTAAACATTAACTAATCTATCTTAAAAACATTAACTAAGGGACGGACCATTAGAAAACTTATAGGGGGGAGGGGGGGCGGGCGAAGTACAAAAAAAATATTCGCGCAAGGCAAAATTAAATGAAAAAAAATTCATGCACGCCAATTAACCCTAAAAAATATTCATGCTACGGCCTAAGAAAATTCATACAAGAAATTTGATAACGAAAAAAAATTCCTGCGGCTCAAAAATTCCCCTATCCTCCCCCCCCCCCCATAACTTTTCTAATGGTCCGTCCCTAATCTATCTTAATTAAAAGGAATAAAAAAGCTAACAAGAGATGAGATGCGAAATTCGAAAACTCTAAAATAAAGCTATTCATTAAAACAGTCGGTTTTAAAATGTGGCATGTTAAAAGGTCGCGCGCGCCAGTGGATAAGTAGATTCGTGCTGTACAGGTAATAACTTATAAAGGCGGTGATTGTTGTCATTTACAATTGTGTGAAAAAGTGCAATGCAGACTCGTATTTCGTCACGGTGGGTTGCTGTATTCCTTAACGTTCATAATAACACGAGCCTCATGATTATCCTGGTGGGCTGCTACTTCTACATACAATGTTCACAATGTTCAATAATACACCTCCAGCAGGAGATAGGCTCCCGACATCGTGAATAAAATGACGGAGATTTGGATACGCATATAAAAGGTACTCAAAGGCCTACTAAAAGAACGCAAAAAAGGGCAGGTTAAATGTAGGAAACCTGGGAACGAACTACGCAAAAAAAAATCCGCAAGCCTCGTTAAAGAAATGGTTAATGATAAGATTGAGTTAAACTTTCACGTAGTGTCATAACAGCCACGAATGACTTGATCCCTATTTCAACAAAACTTTCAAAAAATAGAGTCTAATAAAATTCCTCTTCGCTCACATTAATTATACAAGCACTTGCAAAATACCTCTAAAACTAATTGCACTAGTATTATCTCCGTTCGTAGTTACACTAGTGTCAAAGTATTTACAGGCGGGAAATGAATTGGCACCAAGGAACTGCAACATTTAGAAGAATTAGAAAGTCATGTAAAACCCATACTTGTCGTCACGTACTCGTAACTTCATCGGCAGTTACTGTACTGGACTCGGCTGGTCCACGGAGAACAAGTTCGTGTTCAAGTGCGGGCTTCGTGTCTATTTGGGGTAGCTAAAATGATTAAAAACAACAAAAAAAGTTTATTATGATACAAAAAACACCTCTCTCCTTTGCAGAGCCCTCCATGTTCTACTTCCTGGCTCCACATGTAATTATCGTTAGCGAATAGCTTTTAGGCGCCCATTACACCTTGTTTGGAAACAACAAACAGAAAAGAGCTCGAGATTTCAAACATCATCTTGAGCACTTCTAATCGAGTTTTCGAAATCGGATCTTAATTTTTAAAGACCCTTAGCTTTCTACGTCCTCTTTTACGGCACAAGTGATAGCACCACTCCCTAATAGAAACACAGACGCAAACAACGGCCCTGTAAAAAAAAAAAAAAAAAAAAAAGCAGATTAAAATTTTTTTCCAAGGACGGTGGGGAGGGGAACTGGTGTGGTTTCAAAATGAGGGCATTTTTCTCTTTTTTTTCCGTTTTCTTTCCCTTTCTTTTAATTAAAGACTGGAGGCATGTGTGGTATATTAAGTATATTTTTTCAGNCACCAAGGAACTGCAACATTTAGAAGAATTAGAAAGTCATGTAAAACCCATACTTGTCGTCACGTACTCGTAACTTCATCGGCAGTTACTGTACTGGACTCGGCTGGTCCACGGAGAACAAGTTCGTGTTCAAGTGCGGGCTTCGTGTCTATTTGGGGTAGCTAAAATGATTAAAAACAACAAAAAAAGTTTATTATGATACGAAAAACACCTCTCTCCTTTGCAGAGCCCTCCATGTTCTACTTTCTGGCTCCACATGTAATTATCGTTAGCGAATAGCTTTTAGGCGCCCATTACACCTTGTTTGGAAACAACAAACAGAAAAGAGCTCGAGATTTCAAACATCATCTTGAGCACTTCTAATCGAGTTTTCGAAATCGGATCTTAATTTTTAAAGACCCTTAGCTTTCTACGTCCTCTTTTACGGCACAAGGGATAGCACCACTCCCTAATAGAAACACAGACGCAAACAACGGCCCTGTAAAAAAAAAAAAAAACAAAAAAAAACTGCTGATTAAAATTACTTACCAAGGCCAGTGGGACGTGTAACTGCTCTGTTTCCAAAAGGATGTCATTATCACTGTTTTCATCGATTAGCTTGGCTTTTACTTTCATGAACGATGCGTCGCATGGTGGCAGAGTAAAGGTTATTTTCTCGGGCAGTCTCATCTCCTCTATTTTCCGTCGATCGACCTGCATAAGATAATAATAGATGTTCATGTTACTTTCTGAAAGGGGCGATAAAGGCGTGCCAGTGCGTTTTAAGTGCTTATCTACATGTATATACACTGTCTTAAGGCCATGAACTGAAAACGTTTTTATTTTTGTCTGTCTCCATTCACCGATGTGTACTAATAACTAACAACTAACTACTTGTGCTGCTCCAGATCAACCGTGCAAGTTTGAACTTGCAATTTAGTTTAATCCCACAGTTTGGATGAAAATGCTCTTTGATTTTCCCATCTCCTTATTAATTACTTTTCGAAATAATGAAAAGATTTATAGATTATTTTTAAAATACATATGTAATTCAATCTGATTCTGAAGTTATCAATAAAAGAGGTTTCAGACTTCTTGTCTCCAAAAAACGATGAGGAATTTACAAAGAAAATTTCAGTAAATTTTGGTTTCTTGGCTACCACTAGTTTGGGCAAAATCAAAGGCCGCCCACATTTATCTGGAAAGATAAGCATTACCTTTTTCACAGCTTGAAAAGATCCCATCTCCAGTTTGGCAACAAGCGTCACTGATCCCTGCTTTTTTCTCCAGGAGAAATTGTTTGAATAAACAGTTATCATTGGAATTCTGGTCTTTTCTTCCTGAGAATAAGACAAATGTTAAATCAACACTTATCAGTAAAACTGGAGGTGATGGGACAGACCGTACATATGAAATTATTTGGAACAGGTGTTTTTTTTTTTGTTTTTTTGTTTGTTTGTTTTTTTAACTGAAAATGCATCTGTTCTCGATGATAATCAAGAATACCCCCCTCTGCTGCTTTGGAGGCTTAGCCCCTTTTTGTCATAAAATTCCATGTATTACGAAAACCTCTCTTTGAACAGAGTCTTTTCTTCGTCCTGGAGCTTGCATGAACGAAACGGCAAAAATTAGCCAGGGCCTGTGGTGGGAAAGCAAGTCGACAGACGTCAAAAAACCACAGTACAGTGAAGAGCGTAAGTACCTTAAAAATTGGTGCTACACACTGCATGAAGACAAAAAGAGATAGCAAGATTTGTGATTAGGGGTTCATGTAATAAGAAGCTAAAGAATAATGTTGATGGCGATGAAAATACCCAGTTTCTTTTATTAGCTGATGATGAATGATGCTGATATGATTCATAATTCCTTCAACAGCATGTCTCATTATCATGTAGATACAAAATTAATAGCCCACCCATGACGTTGGCAATAGCAAGGGTGCGAACTTGGCTACATTATCCCATCCTAGAACCCTAAGAAAATTATGTACCTGTAGAAAGGTTCTTCTGTTTACTCCAGCTCTAGTTACGTATAGAAAAAGCTGTTTGTGGGATTCATTGCCCTCATCAAGCTCTGGTTGAACGTGGCTGAAGATGTCAATAATGTACCAGGCATCTTCGGACTCAGAATCTATACATGTTGTTTGTTCAGTCAGCGAGGCATCGTCTGACATGACCTCAGCTAAAGCTAGGCAAAAGAGGGAAAAATATGTTATTCCCTTAAACAAAACTGCCAATTAATTCTCCCTTGGCATGTATCTTGGCGAAAGCCGCCCGTGGTGAAAAGATTAACTAAACAACGAAGGCTGCCATGAAAGGTACAAACATGTAAATTTATGATATCTTTCCTTGTTATTGATACGTATTAGCACTGAGGTTTCTTTATGTACTCGTTAGTCACCCCAACCATGCAAAGTTGAGGGGGCTCGAGGTATAATCCTAAGCAGACTAAAATTCATTTCCCTTGTAATGAACACCGGTTACACAAAGGCTCTTGCTTACGATATAATAAAAAGACCAATGCATGGCTTTAGCTTTGCCGTCCAAGGACGCCATCTTCTCCGTGGCACGGTCATTAGCACAGCCAGCATGATCATATGATTTTATCGTGTAATTACTGACACTCCCAGATGAAACTGCAATACAGAACAATTGTAACTTATAGTTAGTCTACCTCCATTAATCAAGAGGTCTTGGAAAATGTTGATCGCTAGCCGTTGTCGATAGTGATTTCAGCACGGTAAATATGCCAGCAATATGTAAATATGGCGGTTAGAAGGTGGGAAAGACTTAAAGAACGACGTTCAATCGCATACCCAGGCCATTTTGGATGTTCAAAATGGCGACCTCATATTGATAGCCTCAGAGTACTCCCTCTATGAATAAATATGTACTGTATTAAAATTACATGATATTAATTTGAGGAGGACTCGGAAAAAAAATCCGAGTCCCAGATGGGATTTGAACCCACGACCCTCCGTGATCTAGTCGGATGCTCTAACCACTTGAGCTACTGGAGACTCTGTGGTGAGCAAGGGCCAATTTGTGGGTCTCGACTGGAACCGCATCACGCGGCTACACAGCCAAGTAATGATAGGCACACAAGAAGTGAAGAACATCTTTGATATGCTTTAAGGTGACAGCGCGATGCTGTTAGTGAGTTCTTCACTTCTTGTGTGCCTATCATTACTTGGCTGTGTAGCCGCGTGATGCGGTTCCAGTCGAGACCCACAAATTGGCCCTTGCTCACCACAGAGTCTCCAGTAGCTCAAGTGGTTAGAGCATCCGACTAGATCACGGAGGGTCGTGGGTTCAAATCCCATCTGGGACTCGGATTTTTTTTTCCGAGTCCTCCTCAAATTAATATCATGTTGTTGTTGTTTCATCTTTAATATACTGTATTAAAATTACATTGATATGTCAGAAGTCACTTTGACTCTTCCTTGAAGTTTTATTTGACGAGCACTTTACCCAGTTAAATGAATTAGCTAGGAGTTTGACACAGCCGGAAATAGTGATGTTTCCAGTACTGTCAGTATCTTTGTTAGAGTGAGTCAACTTATCTCAGTAAATCATCTTGATATTACTCCCTCAGGAAGGTTACAAAACAATTAGATTATCATTTTGATTTTGACATATCATTCCCTACAAAATGGTATTCTAATATGTAATTTGCCAACTAAAAACATTTTAAAAGGAATTTTTAATTTGGAAGTTCCTTTTTGAACGAATCGATGTAAAACAGTTACAAAAACGGCAGCTTCCTTTCTTTAACAAGCAATTTACTAAAGCAGCAAGGGTAGACTCGAAAAACAAACAATCTAATTAACTGAATGCTTGGAGTGACTCTAAAGGTTACCTACTACGGGAGAAGAGATAGCGTATGTTTGAACATTCTTCGATCCTATCATCTGTTTGATCCTGGGTTCGTTGACTTGCGCTTAAGAGTACTGTTTCGAGAATTGCTCTCTGGTTTGAGGCTTAGACCTCCTAATGTATAGAGGCGGGCGAGTCGTATTGCTTTTATAATGTCTGGCCGATCGAGACAGTGGAAAACACTATAGTTCATCCGCTGTTACCTAAATGGTTGTCGGGAAGGATGGTCTGATTCAGTGAATATTAAATAGGTTTAACCGGAAAATGTAATTATTAAATGCTGGTTATGAAATAAATGAATTGCTATAGACTCCTGCTTCTTCCTTGAAATAAGCCTCGCTTTTGCAAAGAAAAAAATTATCTGGCTGACACAAAGCAGCTTCCTTGTACATATATTGCTAGAAGAATCACGGTGTTTTTGTCGATAGACGTGAAATATCGTGTTTAAGATTGTTGTGAATTTTATTCATAATTAAGGAAGACATTTATGCGTTCAACTTTTAATTTTTAAAAGAACATTAGAGAAAAAAAAATAGAAATAACATCAATTCGTCAGCTGGTAAAAATCCCAACCAAGTATGAAACCGAAAGCTTAAACTTCCCCGTAGCCTAATCTGCACACATAATCAAACAGGGGATTCCCCTAGTGCCCAGCATGGTTACGTTTACAACCTTGCGTTTGTGGAAACAATTCGTTTAAATGCTTCCTTTAAATGAGAACACGCTCTTCTCCGATGGGGAAAAATTCCCTTTAAAAAATTTAAATTCATTGTTCTATTTCATGTGCTATTGGATTTAAAACGCGTTTTTTGGTCTGATGAAAGCCTAACAAAAGCTTTCGTGACTGTGAATTTGATCGCGTGACGCTAAAACGATTTTGTAATTCATGAAAGGGAACTTTAGCACGCAACCGCTATAATTATAATTACTTACATATATCACCGTTTGTAGCTTTAAAATATACCGAATATACCATCTGTTGCTTTCTATACTTACAGATAGATAGCGCCTTCTATAATTATTTACTTCCCACAAATATTGACAAGTGCTGTATATGACAAATATTATGGCCTGGAAATATTTATTTTGCTAGTAGAAAATTTTGTCTCCTCGAAATACCCTGTTTACCCTTGACTATAATAAGGTTACTTACGTATTGTGTAGAATGTCTTCCTTTCAAATTTACCAGCGTTTCGCTATCGATTGTGTCTTGGTGTGAAGACGACTTGACCGTATCAACTTCTTGATGACACAAGTGCGCTTAGCTATTCGAGTTTGTCAAATAGCCGGGGAATCTAAACAAACTTCACCGAGGATATATAAATGATACTTTCAAAGAAAATGAAGAAGCCATATACCGGGGATTTCCCTAATGAAGTTGATATTTGATTCATTCTTTTCTATTTTATATTATTAGAATGTTATTTATTTTTCGCTTATGGCAGCGTTTTCATTGTCGAAGGGAAAAGTACTCGTTGCGGACTACTTTGGGAATTATTTTGAGTAATCATTCGTTTATTTTCCGTTTGATTTAGGTACGTGCCTATGACATAATCAGCTTGGAGAAACACAAGTCATCGTAACCAAATAGATTTTAGTTGTGCAATACCATTTGCTTTGATTTTTCTTTATTTGAGCAAAGAGTAAAATTTACCGTGGTTGCAGTAATCCGTTGTCAATATATCTGGCGTGAGTAAATTTACCAAGACGTTTTGCAGTTTTGCATCCTCCAAATTGAATGTACAATTAATCTATCGTACATGAAACGTCTTTCGCCCTTCCTTCAAACCAAGACAAAAATTTTTGATTTGCAAGGTTTCACACTTCCGAAACTGGGAAAAAACCCTTTCTTTAGAAACTTTGTTTGTGTCACGGCTTCCCCTAAGACACAATAAGTTTGTTAATAATGCAATATGGCCCTCCGAGATACGGAAAGTGTTTGAACCGGAAGCATAGGTAGCGAATAAGAATGCATGCAGAACATGAAACTGCCAATACATGAGCAGAAGCTGCAACAGAATTCTACACAATACGCTGTCACTCCACGAAGTTAAAAAACGAACTGCTTGGGTAAGTGTTAAGTTGAAATAAAATATCTGCAGTAAAAGAATTTAACAATTAATGAATGAGGCTGAGTATCTTGTGCAGAATGATGGAGATCGAGGAGGGTGTTATACGTCGAGGCCGTAGGCCGATGCGGAAAACACCCTCCGAGATCTCCATAATTCTTCACATGATGCTCAGCCTCATTCAATAATTGTTTTGTTATTCATTCAAAATAATTCCTAATTTAAAACTGAGCTAAAACATGCTTACCTTCATCGATGTTACGTACATCTTCGGCAGTGCACGTTTAGGGTTGTTCAGCTCCGCAAATATTCTCCAAATAGCAAGTCGTCCTTCGAGTTGTCTTATTGCTGTTCTTCACATGTTTAGCTATCATTTCGAGTGAAATGTCCACCATTTTTGTTTTCACAACCAGAACAACTCAACCTCGTCCACAGGTCTTCTCGGTTAACGGTGCATTAACCTGCAAGGAATCTGCACTTTTGACGTCATCGGTTGATTAATCGTAAAGTTGTTCCAAATTTGGTCATCTGTAGCTGATTATGGTGAATTATGCGTGTGCCTTAAACCAGTCAGAATTTGGGAAATATTTTGAATGAATAACAATCGAGGTTTATGCTCGAAGAATTTCTATCGAAGACTGAGGCATAAGGTTTACAGATGACTCAAGGAAAGGGTTTTTACAGAGTAATTAATCTCAGCGCGTTTGTGTGCGTTTCTGTTTTTTGTATTTCATTTTGTCTACGTAATACATAAATTGTACTTTTTTTATCTTTTCCGGACTCGTACGCAGTAACAACGAAGGGGCAAAAATTTAAATGTAGGAAATAAATACATAAATAGATTTATAAGGTCATGATTTATAAGTCCCGTTATAAGGTCATGTGAAAGAGAAAGCGTTTCTCGGGCGAGCTCAAATACTTATTTTAAGTAAAGAACCTCTTCAATTCTGAGCTATTAATTGGCAATTAATAAAAAGGGGTTAATAGGATATGAACAACTAAGCAGATGTCATTTCCTCGTTAAACACAAAATTCTTCCAAATTTGGTCAATATTAACTGGTTATGGTGAATTATGCGTGTGCTTTTAGCCAATCAGAATTGGGGCAATATTTCGAATCAATAATAATTTGTTATATATATGTTGTTTTAAATAGGACTGGAGAAAGATGAAGATTATCAAACAGACTGTCCAGATCAGCAGCTGCTATCAAATCCTGAGTGGTGCCTCACCATCTCAACCTTTTCTGATTGAACACTGCTGTTTGATGACACCCGGAAATGAGTGGGATATGGAGGTCAAATGTCGCCCTATATCGCACGGAGCCCAAGGTGTGTCCAATCAGAGAAACAACTGGAGAAGCCTGATGATGGTTTACCCCGAAGCTAAAGTACAACTAAAACACAATGACATTGAAGTCACACTACCATCTCTGCAGGAGGACGTCGAGATCGCTGCGTTTGGAAGACCAGGAAAAGATGACAAGAAAAGAATGCAAATGGCAATCTTTGCTAAGCGACCAAAACAAGGAAGAGACTGGAAGATTTGGGTTTATCTTGTAGATGATACAAGTCCAGCCTGTGAGGTATAGGGTACTAATATGATTGTTTATTTTGTTTTGTTTGTTTGTTTGTTTAAAATGTTACCACCATAGTTTCTTTACCATGATTTTATTTCATTTTAATTTTATAATCATTTTTTTTTGTCATGACTTTATTACCTTACCATTGATCAACCCCCTACCTCCCCCTCCCCTCCTGCCCCGCTCTAGACATTAGCCTCTCTTGAGGACGGCTAAGGCGCTAGAGATCTTTATTACCACCAACCCTTGAAATGCAAAACGATAATGCCAAATTCAAAGTATAATTTATTAATTTAAGTTGTTTCCGTACAATGATACGAACACTGATTTCTACATGTTATTTCTCTTTCTTGTGTAACCAGAAAATGTTTCAGGATGAAGACGAAAAAGGAAACAAACTACTGACACCACTTGCTGGAATATTTGTGTCTAAAAGCAATAAAGACATCACAATTGAACTCAGTAAACTGGAGCCTGGATGGAAAATCAGAGGAAGCAATGTAAAGGTGCGAATAGTGAACTTGGTTGTTAACAGTTTGGCCTCCTTAATGATATAGTATTGATTAAAATCCACGCGACAGGTTTGGATTAGTTTAGGGCTGTCAGTCTCTAGAGCGAGAGAACTCGGGCCCGATTCACTCAAGACAATACCACTACTTAGGGTTTCTTTGTTGTTGCTGTTGTTGTTTGTTTTTCGAAAGAGGATGCTGCCCTTTCCAAGGCGATACTTTCGTGTAGTTTCGATTTCCACTTACAGAAAAGCAAAAAGCCAGTGCCTTCAGTTGTATAGAGCTTTTTGGTGGTATATAGATCAACACTTAACCAAAGCGAGAATTTCATCAATGAAAAGAATCCCTACCTCTCTACCGTCTTAACTTCCACAAACTCTACTAGGCTGTGGAGGTGTGGGTTCTAAAGTAATAAAAACTGGGCTTGGCTCCGACCACTCCCTAATCAACTTGTTGCTTATATTTAAGTGATTAATCAATAAACTGATCACACTAAGTCATCCTTTGTTTTTATGTTTTCTTTTTTGTTGTTTTTGTTTCGTTTTTAATGATTTGCTTTTCAATTTTCTTTTAGACAATAAAATCAACTCATGCATGGAATTCGTCAGAAAACTCCGTAGATTTTCCACGTTGCTATTTCGAAATAAGTCACGTGAATAGTGCCAAGCATTCATACTTCTGTGGAATAGAAGCTTCTCATGAAGGAGACAGTGCACAAGCAGAAGTTGTGGCGTATTTTGAACGAGTGAGTGTTGACGGAATGAAATACAGTTGTATTACATTATTAATCTTTCTTTTGTTGCTCTTGGAAAAAGGAAAATACTAATTTATGATCATATTTTAGTCTCCTTAATTGCTGGATTTTTCATCTTTATTTTGTAGGAAAGTGGTCAGAAAATCGTCCAACCCTCTAACAATTCTCGCAAACTGAGTAATACGTGCAACTTTGTTTCAAAAGGTAACTTTCAACTAGACTGTACAAAAAACAAAAATAAAAGCAAAATGTATGGTCACTTTGAAGCACGATGCAACTCACAGACCAGTAGCAACACAAAGGCCTCTGCAAAATAGCAAAATATGTAGCTCGTTTAACCTGTATAATAAATTTTCATATTGTATTTCTAGGCGTTTTACTTTTTTTTTTTTTTATTTTTTTTTTTTAATATCACCGCTCATTTTTCTTTTCTCACAGAGTCTAACACCAGGTTTCCATTACTTGAAGTTTTCTTTCTGCTTTGTGCACTTTTTGCTTCTGACTTCAACACCACACATATTACTGGTAAGCTTGCTTTATAAATTTCAGTAAATAAACGATGCCATAAGCGTGTACATTGGCTATTTCGGAGTTGCCTAAGGAACTGGGGGGAGTTTCAAATTCAAACTAATCGCTAAACTGACCACCACCATATAAAAGGTCATGTTAAGATTGGTTTTTTGAACAAGTTTGGTGCTCTAAGGTTAAACAGGGATCAAGTTATGACTCTTGAAACATGGTTAAAGATCGATTCTGTGATATCCCTAAAAACGGGCAAACACAGTTGTTTTCGAATTAGTTCCTTCCAAGCAGTAGATGCATGACAATTTTTACAGTTTAAAAGAAAAGCTGAAAAATTTTAAAGAGTTTATATGGTTTGGGGGAATCTTTAACCATGTTTCAAGAGTCATAACGTGATTCCTGTTCAATTTTAGAGCACCAAACTTGGTCAAATAACCAATCTCAACATGGCCATTTATGTGGTGGTGTCGGTTTATCGAATAGTTTAAATTTGAAACTCGCCCCAATTCCCTACGCAACTCCGAAATGGCTAATAGAAATCCCATTAAAGGGCCAAGTAGTAAAGGATACCATTGTATAAATCAAATTTGGGAACGATACGTTTGCTGACATTGTTTGCAGGTTTTTGGAAAGATTATGACTGTAGTGTAACTAAACCTTTCAAAAACTTGAAAATCGTTTATATGATTAAAATAGAAAAGAATCAAATCTATCTAACTGCAAATACGTTTCCTTTCAATTCACTTACAGGCAAGCCCTATAATCTCACAATTTTTGTTTTCAATTTCAACAGGATCAAATTCAACTTATCAGCAATTTACGACAAAGAAGGATTTTGAAGATTTTACCAATATCAAGCCGCCTGACAGCTTCCCTTCCATTGGAATGCCTTATTCCGGGGAGCTGGTAAAGCGCGGGCAAGTAGGATCCGCCAGCTGTGGTTCAACTGTCCCCCAAGACCCCGCTCACTGTGCAACTGCAAGAAACCCGAACGCCTCGGAACGAGGCTTTGATCTTTCGGTATTAGAACAAAGAGTGAAATCTACCGTGGTTGCAGTAGTCCGTTGTCAAAATATCTGGGGTGAGTAAATTCACCAAGACGCGTTGCAGTTTTGTATCCAGGTCAAATTGAAAATACAATTAATCTATCGTGCATGAAAGTCGTTTCTCGCCCTTCCCTCAAACCAAAAGATTGTGATTTGCAAGGTTTTACCCTTTCGAAACTGGGAAAAAGCCCTTTCTCTAGAAACTTCATCTGTGTCACCTAAAACACAGTGACGCTGTTAATAATTACAAGTCCCTCAAGAATCAGAAGTGTTTTAATCAGAAGTAGTTATGCAATAATCTTATATATAAGAGTGCAAGCAAAGCATGAAACAGCCAAAAAGCAGAATCATTTACAAAACTCTAACGGTACTAATAAACATTGTCGCTACAAGGTGATGTCACTCCATGGAGTTACAAAAAAAAAAACGAACTAAATGCGTAGCTATGAATTTGAAATAAGATATTTGCAAGTATTCCATGTTAATACTGAAAGAACTACGTTTTAAGACTGATCAGGCAAAACGTTTTACAGAGGCTGAAGAAAAGACAGACGAAAGACATTAATCTAACGGCTTTTGTGAGCATTTTGATTTATATTTCATTTTATCTACATCATTTTTTTTAATATATTATCTTTTATCTCTGTGTGATTATTCGCATACTATACTTTTGTTATCTTTTTCAAACTCGCACCATGTGACAACAGGCTAGGGCGCCAAAACGTAAGCGAAAAAATTAAAATAAATACATCAATCTATTTTCTTTTTTTCTTTCGAGAAGAGTAGGGCGTTATAAGTTCATGAAAGGGACAAAACCTTCCTCAGGCGATAATAAATAAATATTTGAATATTTTTTTAATAATTTCCCTTGCTCAATTGAGTATTTTCTTTAAAACAACTTCTTCAATTCTGAGCTGTTTGTCATTATCTGTTGTTTTAAGCAGGACTAGAAAAAGATGAAGATTATAAAACAGAGATCCAGATAAGCGGCTGCTATAAAATCCTCAGTGGTACCTCACCATCTCAACCTTTTCTGGTTGAACACTGCTGTTTGATGACACCCGGAAATAAGTGGGATATGGAGGTAAAATGTAGCCCCATGTCGCGTGGGGCCCAAGATGCTTTTAATCAGAGATACAACTGGGGAAGCCTAATGGTGGTCTATCCTGAAGCTGAAGTGCAATTAAAACACAATGAAATGGAAGTCACACTGCCATCGCTGCAGGAGGACGTCGAGATCGCTGCGTTCGGAAGACCAGGAAAAGATGACAAGAAAAGAATGCAAATGGCGATCTTTGCTAAACGACCAAAACAAGGAAGAGACTGGCAGATTTGGGTTTATCTTATAGATGAAACAAGCCCAGCTTGTGAGGTATAGGGTGCTATTATGATTGCTTTTTTTTATTGTTTGTTTGTTGTTTGTTTAAAAAGTTACCATCATCATTTCTTTACCCTATGATCATGATTTTATTGCCTTAGCGAGCCAGCCAGCCATTGATCAACCTCCCGCCCAACCCCCTCCCTCCCCGCTCTAAACATAACCGTCTCTTAAAGACGGCGAAGGCACTAGAGAGCTTTATTACAACCAACCCTTTCAATGCAAAATGATAATGCCAAGAGCACAATTTATTAATTTAAGTTGTTAACATACATTGATAGGAAAACTGATTTCTACATGTTATTTATACAGAAAATGTTTCAGGATGAAGACGAAAGAGGAAACAAACTGCTGACACCACTTGCTGGAATATTTGTGTCTAAAAGCAATAAAGACATCACAATTGAACTCAGTAAACTGGAGCCTGGATGGAAAATCAAAGGAAGCAATGTAAAGGTGCGAATAGGGAACTTGGTTGTTAACAGCCTGCCCCCTTTAATGATATAGTAATGATTAAAATACACGCGGCGTTTCTATCCGCGACAGGTTTGGCCATGGATAAGTTGGTAGGACTGTCAGAGTCTCTAGAGCGAGAGAACTCGACCACGATTCTCAAGACAACACCACTACTTAGGGTTTCTTTCAGTGTTGCTGTTGTTGTTTGTTTTTCGAAAGAGGATGCTGCCCTTTCCAAGACGAGGCTCTAGTGTAGTGTGGATGTTCCAAGTTACATGTAGCTGTTTAATGAGATATAGATCAACACTTAACCAAAGCGAGAATTTCATCAGTGAAAAGAATCCCTACCTGTCTACCGTCTAAACTTCCACAAGCCTCTACTACGCTATAGAGGTCTGGGATCTTAAGTAATAAAAACTGGGCTTGGCTCTGACCACTACCTATTCGTCAGGTTACTTATATTTAAGTAAATAATCAATAAAGTAATCAAGTTCAGTTAATCTCTGTTTTTCTGTTTCTGTTTTTGTTTTTGCTTTTGTTTGTTTTTGCTTTTGTTTTTGTTTTTGCTTTTAATGATTAATCCAATTCTCTTTTTAGACTATCAAATCAACTCATGCGTGGAATTTGTCAGGAAACTCCGCAGATTTCCCACGATGCTATTTCGAAATAAGTCTCGTGAATAGTACCAAGAATTCATTCTTGTGTGATATAGAAGCTTCTCACGAAGAAGACAGCGCACACGCAGAAGTTGTGGCTTATTTTGAACGAGTGAGTGTCAAGAGAAAAAAATACCGAATTGGTTGTATTATATTACATTATTAATCTTTCCTCTGTTGCTCCTTGCAGAAGAAAAATATTAATTTATGATCATATTTAAGTCTCCTTAATTGCTGGTTTTTTCATCTTTATTTTGTAGGAAAGTGGTCAGAAAATCATCCAACCCTCTAACAATTCTCGCAAACTGAGTAGTACGTGGAACTTTGTTTCAAAAGGTAAGCTTCAATTAGACTATACAAAAAACAAAAATAAATAAATAAATAAATAAATAAGACGTATGGTCACTTAATTGAAGTACGATGCAACTCAGAGACCAGTAGCAAAACATAGGTCTCTGCAAAATAAATAGCTCGTTTAACCAGTGTATAATAAATTTTCATATTGTATTTCTAGGCTTTATGATTTTTCTATTTTTTTTAATATTACCTTCCAATTTTTCTTTATTTCTTTCTTTATTTTTTTTTCCCTCTCAGAGACTAACACCAGGTTTCCATTGCATGAAGTTTTCTCTCTGCTTAATGCACTTTTTGCTGCGGACTTCAACATCCCACATGTTTCAGGTAAGGTTGCTTAATAAATTTCAGTAAATAAACGATGCCCTAAACGTGTACATAGGAATCCCATTAAAGGGCCAAGTAGTAAAGGATACCATTGTATAAATCAAATGTGGGGACGGTACATTTGCTGACATTGTTTGCATGTTTTTGGAAAGATTATGACAGTGCTGTGAGTAAACCGTTCAAAAACTTGAAAATCGTTGACATGCGTAAAATAAATAAGTATCTAATCTATACAAATGCAAAGACGCTTTCTTTCAATTCACGGCTTACAGGCAAGCACTATAATCTCACAAATTTTGTTTTAAATTTCAACAGGATCAAATTCAACTTATCAGCAATTTACAACAAAGAAGGATTTTGAAGATTTTACCAATATCAAGCCGCCTTACAACTTCCCTGCCATTGGAATGCCTTGTTCCGGGGCGCTTGTAAAGCGCGAGCAAGCAGGGTCCGCCAGATGCGGTTCAACTATCCCACAAGACCCCGCTCACTGTGCAACTGCAAGAAACCCGAACGCCTTGGAACGAGGCTTTGATCTTTCTGTATTAGAGCAGAGAGTGAAATCTACCGTGGTTGCAGTAGTCCGTTGTCACAATATCTGGGGTGAGTAAATTCACCAAGACGTGTTGCAGTTTTGTATCCTGGTCAAATTGAAAAGAAAAGTAATCTATCCTGTATGAAACGTCTCTCGCCCTTTCCTCAAATCAAGACAAAAGATCGTCATTTGCAAGGTTTCACCATTTCGAAAGTGGGAAAAACCCTTTCTGTAGAAACTCTGTCTGTGTCAGGGCTTGTCCTAAAACACAATAACTTCAAAGTCCCTCAAAATACAGAAGTGCTTTAATCAGAAGTAATTTAATGTAATAACCTTGTATAGGTAGCCCATAAGAGTGTAAGCAAAGCCAGAAAGAGCCAAAATAAAAGCAGAATCATCTAGAAAATTATATGCAGTACTAATAAACATTGCCGCTAGAAGGTGATGTCACTCCACGGAATAACAAAAAGAAAAAAAAAAAGAACTAAATGAGTAACTATGATCTCTGAAATAAAATCAGACCTACAAGTATTTCCATATTAATGCTGAAAGAATTATGTTCCAAGACTGATCAGCTGGCAAAAGTTTTACAAAGGAGTCAAGATCTAACGACCTTTGTGAGCATTGATTTTATATTTCATTTTATCTACATTTTTTTTTTTTTTTTGCTTTTCATTTAATATTTTACCCCTGTGTGATTATACGTATATTATACTAGTTTTTTGTTATCTTTTCCGGACTAGCACGTTGTGACAACAAGCTAAGACGCCAAAATTTAAGCGTAAAAAATAAAATAAATACGTAAATCGATTATTTTTTCTTTTGCGAAGAGTAGCAAGATATAAATATTTGATTATTTTTTAATAATTTCCCTCGCTCAGTTGATTATTTCAAATAAAACGACTTTTTAATTCTGAGCTATATGTGATTATCTGTTGTTTAAACAGGACTAGAAAAAGATGAAGATTATAAAACAAAGGTCCAGATAAGCGGCTGCTATAAAATCATCAGTGGTACCTCACCATCTGATCCTATTCTGATTGAACACTCCTGTTTAATGACACCTGGAAATGAGTGGGATATGGAGATAAAATGTCGCCCCATATTGCATGGAGCCCAAGGTGTGTCCAATCAGAGAAGAAACTGGAGAAGCCTGATGGTGGTCTACCCCGAAACTGAAGAGCAATTAAAACACAATGACATTGAGGTAACACTACCATCCCTGCAGGAGGACGTCGAGATCGCTGCGTTCGGAAGACCAGGAAAAGAGGACAAGAAAAGAATGCAAATGGCGATCCTTGCTAAACAACCAAAACAAGGAAGAGACTGGCAGATTTGGGTTTATCTTGTAGATGATACAAGTCCAGCCTGTGAGGTATAGGGTGCTATTATCATTGTTTATTTTGTTTTGTTTGTTTGTTTGTTTGTTTAAAATGTTACCACCATAGTTTCTTTACCATGATTGCAAAACGATAATGTCCAATTAAAAGCACAATTTCTTAATTTAAGTTGTTTCCACCCACTGATACGAAAACTGATTTCTACATGTTATTTCTCTTTCTCGTGTAAACAGAAAATGTTTCAGGATGAAGACGAAAGAGGAAACAAACTACTGACACCACTTGCTGGAATATTTGTCTCTAAGAGCAATAAAGACATCAAAATTGAACTCAGTAAACTGGAGCTTGGATGGAAAATCAGAGGAAGCAATGTAAAGGTGCGAATAGGGAACTTAGCTGTTAACAGTTTGGCCTCCTTAATGATATTTTAATACTTAAAAGTATTGATTAAAATCCACGTGGCTTTTTATCCGCGACAGATTTGGATAAGTTGGTAGGGCTGTCAGAGTCTCTAGAGCGAGAGAATTTAGTCCCGATTCTCAAGACAATACTGCTACTTAGGGTTTCTTTGTTTTTGCTGTTGTTGTTTGTTTGTCGAAATAGGATGCTGCCCTTTCCAAGGCGAGGGTTCCGTGTAGTTTGGATGTCACATACAAAAAAAGCGAAAAACGCAGTGCCCTAAGTTACATGTGGCTGTTTGGTGATGATATAGATCAACACTTAACCAAAGCGAGAATTTCATCAGTGAAAATAATCGGCCCTGCCTCTGGAGGCTATGGAGGTCTGAGTTCTAAAGTAATGAAAACTGGGCTTGGCTCTGACCACTACCTATTCGTCATGTTGCTTATATTTTAGTGATTAATCAATAATTAAAAAACAAAAGATTAACTTAGTTTGATCACTTGAATTGTTTTTGTTTTGTTTTTCATGATTTGCATTTCAATTTNTAGTGATTAATCAATAATTAAAAAACAAAAGATTAACTTAGTTTGATCACTTGAATTGTTTTTGTTTTGTTTTTCATGATTTGCATTTCAATTTTCTCTTTAGACAATCAAATCAACTCACGCATGGAATTCGTCGGGAAACTCCGTAGATTTTCCACGCTGCTATTTCGAAATAAGTCACGTGAATAGTACCAAGCATTCATTCTTCTGTGGAAAAGAAGCTTCTCACGAAGGAGACAGTACACAAGCAGAAGTTCTGGCGTATTTTAAACGAGTGAGTGTTAACTTAAAAAAAATACTGCTGTGTCACATAATTAATCTCTCTTAATTTATGATCATATTTTTTCATATTTATTTTTTAGCAAAGTGGTCAGAAAATCGTCCAACCCTCTAACAATTCTCGCAAACTGGGTAATACGTGCAACTCTGTTTCAAAAGGTAAGCTTCGATTAGACCGTATGAAAAAAAAAATGTATCGTCACTTTGAAGTACGATACAATTCAGAGACCAGTAGTAAAACAAAGGCCTCTGCTTAATACATAGCTCGTTTAACCTGTATAATGAATTTTCATATTGTATTTCTGGGCTTCATACATTGTTTTGAATATCACCTCTCAATATTTCTTTCTTTCTTTCTTTTTTTCTTACAGAGACTAAAACCATGTTTCCATTACTTGAAGTTTTCTTTCTGCTTTATGCACTTTTTGCTTCGGGCTTCAATACCACACACGTTACAGGTAAGCTTGCTTTATAAATTTCAGTATAAGTTTGGCTTGCTGACATTGTTTGCATGTTTTTTTAAAAAGATAATGACAGTAGTGTAAGTAAACTTTTCAAAAACTTGAAAATCGTTTACATGCGTAAAATAAATAAGCATCAAATCTAGTATATAACTGCAAATACGTTTCCTTTCATTTCACTTACAGCAAGCATAATAATCTCACAATCTTTGTTTTAAATTTTAACAGGATCAAATTCAACTTATCAGCAATTTACGACAAAGAAGGATTTACAAGATCTTACCAATTCCAAGCCGCCTGACATCTTCCCTTCCACTGGAATGCCTCGTTCCGGGGCGCTGGTAAAGCGCAGGAAAGCAGGATTCGCCAGCTGGGGTCCAACTGTCCAACAAGACCACCCGCACTGTGCAACTGCAAGAAAGCCGATCGCCTCGGAACGAGGAAATACAATACAAATATTCCAAAAACAACGTTCACAAGAAGTCTACTAGAAGAGTAAACAAGAAACAAGAAAAAAGCCGATTACAAAAGAAAGAAAGAAAGAAAGAAAAATAATCATCACCAATTAAGGTCAACGAAGAATAGCTTAAGTACTCATTGTTCAACTAAGCTACACCTTATAGCAATCAAATTATAAACTGGTTATTCTCATTATTTCCTCATTAAACTACAAGTACCAAACTTCATTTAATTTTTCCTAAGAGACGGTGACTCGCTTAGATTTATTTATTTTTGTTTCTATTTTTACTGACCGCTTACTATGCTGTTTGTTGTTGAGCGAAATTTAGCTGAAACGCTTTTGATCTGGCTCTATTGCATTCATCAACATTCAACATGTTTCGTGGTAGTTTCAACATTAAGTGATTGCAAATAATCAGTCACATTCCTATTTAGAGGTAGCAGTCATTTTGATAACCGCAAATATGTTCTTTTTATTTATGGCACCTTTCATGGTAAAGTTTGAAAGCACAAAAAATTCAAGTCGTACCATAGTCTGCAGTGAGCAAATAAAAACCTAACATTTTAGAGAACAAAAAATTGACTTTTTTGTTGTTGTTACCAATACCGTATTTATTCGATTAACCGCCCTGGGCGCTTATTAAATTTTTGGACCTTGAGAGTGGGCGCTTATTCGAGGTGGGCGCTTATTCGAGGCTGGGCGCTTATTAAATTTTCACCATTTTCAGCAAGAGTAGTATGTTAATCTTGCAACAATACAGTAAATGGTAATAATAAAACGCGAAGATGTGACAAAGCAAGGTTTCTGTAAAATACTCTGAAGAAAACTCCGTCTTCGGGCAAGTCTCTTATTAGTACTTATTTAAGGTTTTTTGGAAGGGAGGGACCAGAAAGGGGGTGGGCACTTATTTAGTTTTAGTTTGAGGGGAAGGGAGGTGGGGTGGGGGTGGGCGCTTATTCAAGGCTGGGCGCTTATTAAAGTTTTCTGCCTTCAGGATGGGCGCTTGTTCGAGGTGGGCGCTAATTCGAGGTTGGGCGCTTATTAAAGTTTTCTGCCTTCAGGATGGGCGCTTGTTCGAGGTGGGCGCTAATTCGAGGTTGGGCGCTTATTGGAATAAATACGGTATGTACATACCGCAATGTATTCGTGTATACACGTTGGCGCTGTTTTGTTCTTGTGTTGTTTTCGTTTTGCTTTTTTTATTGTTTTGTGGATTAGCGGTCCACGCGAAATTTGATAGCACTGTTTTTCTGTACACGTGTGGACGGAAGAAAAGNTTCGATTAACCGCCCTGGGCGCTTATTAAATTTTTGGACCTTGAGAGTGGGCGCTTATTCGAGGTGGGCGCTTATTCGAGGCTGGGCGCTTATTAAATTTTCACCATTTTCAGCAAGAGTAGTATGTTAATCTTGCAACAATACAGTAAATGGTAATAATAAAACGCGAAGATGTGACAAAGCAAGGTTTCTGTAAAATACTCTGAAGAAAACTCCGTCTTCGGGCAAGTCTCTTATTAGTACTTATTTAAGGTTTTTTGGAAGGGAGGGACCAGAAAGGGGGTGGGCACTTATTTAGTTTTAGTTTGAGGGGAAGGGAGGTGGGGTGGGGGTGGGCGCTTATTCAAGGCTGGGCGCTTATTAAAGTTTTCTGCCTTCAGGATGGGCGCTTGTTCGAGGTGGGCGCTAATTCGAGGTTGGGCGCTTATTAAAGTTTTCTGCCTTCAGGATGGGCGCTTGTTCGAGGTGGGCGCTAATTCGAGGTTGGGCGCTTATTGGAATAAATACGGTATGTACATACCGCAATGTATTCGTGTATACACGTTGGCGCTGTTTTGTTCTTGTGTTGTTTTCGTTTTGCTTTTTTTATTGTTTTGTGGATTAGCGGTCCACGCGAAATTTGATAGCACTGTTTTTCTGTACACGTGTGGACGGAAGAAAAGGAAACAGCTGTTCGACCAGAAAAATCTGTCCTGAGTCTTGCTATGAATGCGTGTGTTCATCTCACTTTTTTCTGAAACAATGACTGTTCAGATTGCATAATCCCCCCAAAGAAGTCACTTGTTTAACCTACAGGACAGCTCTTTTGGCCACCATGTAAATGTCTCGTTACTCAAAAGGTTAGAAATTCAAGCTTACTATAGAAAAAAACGAAGAAACTTTTTGAAGTGAGAATTTCATGTCTGACTATTAGTTTTTAGCTGCTCTAATAGTTCATAAAATTAAAGACTCAGAAGGATCGATAATTCTCCTGCTGGATTTTTTGATGGCGTCATGAGAAAGCGAGCTAAATTAGAGTTGAAAATGATTGGTTGGATTTTGGCACAGTAGAGGAGACTGGTTATGAGAGCCGGCAAACATCAAAGTTGAAAACAACGATGCTGTATTTCATGTTGGAAGCTCCCTGACCGTGTACAATCCTTTGTTCTTTCGATGTTTCTATCGGACAGTAAATTCAAAATGATAGGAATGCTATTGAACGTTGTGCACGGTCAGGTCCAAAACAGGTAACAAAAACATACACTAAAGAGTATAACGGTTTTCATAACCATTCCACTTTAATAACTATGATCGTGCTCTTTGACTTAAAGGATAAGGTTTGCATGATTTTTCACAATTATTATTTAAAATGGTTTCGTGCCCGAAAAAGTTATTGAACTTTAATCAAACGAGCGCCTGTTAGAAGAACTTGTCTTTTCTTGTCGAGGGATTTCTGTTCCCCCCTAAAGTGCCAACGCTTTTTAAATACCGATTCGTTCAAGTTTGGGTGTATACAAGGTTTTGTAGAAATACAGCCTTTGAAGACTGCCAACGGTGCAAGTCACGTGGATAGAATTGCAATTCTTGGTCACAAACAATTTATTGCACTTCTATAACCGTGATAATCCTTCAAGTTGCATACCGTCAGTTATTTAGATAATTGCAGATTGAAAATTTATAAAAAAAGTTATAAAAAAGCAAATAGTGGGCGATGCAAAATAAATTCCCAAAATTGATCAAAATACTAAATTAACCATTCAACCCCACCGCTTAACTGAATAGATCATATCAACGCACTAATATGTAGATTCCCGTTTCAATAACCAACAACAGCTGATTTTCCATTCGATGAAAAATTTACCGCTGTAGTTTCGGTATAATTAACAGTAAACGTGCCTAATCCTCCGTTAGTTTTGACATTCTGGACAGTCATAACTCCCTCGTGGAGCCCAGATGCAACACTTTTTTTCAAAAATTCTTTACAGCGTAGATTAACCAAATCTAATACTCACACAAGAAATCTGTATTAACCTCTAACCCCTACCCCTACCCCTAACCCTAACCCTAAAACCCAACCCTAACCCTAACACTAACCGTAACCCAAATACTAACACTAACCCTAGCCCTTATCCCTAACCCTAACCCTAACCTTAACCCTACCACTACGCCGTATCCCTAACCCTAATCCTTACCCTAACCCCTAATCCTAACCCTAACCCTAACCCCTAACCCTTAGACCTACCCTAACCCTAACCCTACCCCTAACCCTAGCTCTAACCCTAACCCTAGCCCTAACCGTAACCCTAACCCTAAACCTAACCCTAACCCTAACACTAACCCCTAACCCTCACCCTAACCCTCACCCCTAACCCTAACCCCTAACCCTAACCCTACCCCTAACCCTAACCCCTAACCCTAACCCTAGCCCTTAGCCCTAACCCTAACCCTAACTTTAACCCTAACACTATGCCTTATCCCTAACCCTAACCCCTAACCCTAACACCTACCCTAACCGTAACCCTAATCCTAACTGTAACCCGAATCCTAACCCTAACCCTAAATCTAAAATCTGTATGTCTCGAACAATAAAAAAAAAAAAGAAATATCAATGAGACACAGTCAAAACTGCATTCAATAGGACCGAAATTAAAGTGGAATCTTGTGACCGATTTTGATAAAACAAACGGTTAGGTGTCCCAAGAAGTACAGTAAAAATGTGATGCCGATCAAAAGTTAAAAACTGTTAGAGAGCTCAAGTTCTGGCTAAAAGAAAATTCCTGTAAAAGATGCGTTACAATGTTAGTCCACGCAAAAACCAGAAGTTCTACAATTTTCCGATAAAGAAACTTTGTATCGGTAAAATACTTAAGGGAACAACTTTCTATTCCAACTAGTAACGGCGTGGTAGTCGCCCGCTGATGGTTATTAATCCACTCCCGAAATATGGCTAAATCAGCTATACACAAATTATTGACAGAAATCCTCTACGTTATCGAGAAACTAATTTGCATCTGATTTATAGACAAACACTAAATAAAGAACATTCTGCTCAATAGCTTCTCATTAGCAATGCATTCTATGCCAAACTTTGCGGTTCTTGAAGGGGAATCAAGACACGAGTCGAGCGCCAAACAACAACAAGCAGCCATGTTCGTGTCAGACATCCTTCAGAAACTTGCTCTTTCAAGTCGTTCAGCGCATCAGTCTTCACTTTAAATCACCATATCTTTACTTATTTTGTACACGAAAGTCTTTCCTAAGTTTCTGCTACTATTTGAATCTCAAGCAAGCTTTCAAAGTGAAGAATTTTGTGCCTATGACTATGCATCATAGTCGCTGTCACTGGTCGCGTGCTCTTTATCAGGTCTTAGTGCGGATGCTCACGCAAAAAATACCCCTGTTGTAACCTGTAGATGCGAGAAATTTTGGTAATCCCGTGACCGTCTGTCCGTCAGTACGTCCACCCCTATATGTAAGCCGGTGTGAAATTTCTCATTCAAGCACCTGTGTGTTTCGGCGGTAAATTGCATATCCACCCGCAAGTTTAGAGAGAAAAAGTACAAGAGAGCCGAGTCTTTTTTCAACTAAATTTTAAAAATCTATCTAATCTATGTTCGTAAATCTCGAGGACCCACTCGACTTGGTTTGAAACTCCTGCCTGCATATTAATGTTTTGATCAATTGAAACGGATTGAAATGTTAATAATTATCTCATACACTGTCCCTCAGTTGTCCCTGAGGCGTTTAAAAGATGCGGCTTTTGCCTTTTGAAGGAGCTCTCTCGCGCTAGAGAGAAGTGCGCGCAGCGGAGCATCATGAGTAAGAAAATTTGGTTATCTATGCATCCGTAGGTACGTCCACCCCTTCATGTAAGCAGGGGGGAAATTTTGCATTTCAAGAACCCGCGTGTTTCGGCGGTAAATCGCATAGCCACCCGGACTTTTAGAGATAAAAAAAACAACAACAACAACAATGCCAAAATAATAATAATAATAATAATAATAATAATAATAATCGTAATAATAATTCTATTTGTGGGGGAGGTGAAATACTTTCTCAAGAAGGCACCACACAAGGAGATCCGCTAGCGATGCCATGGTATGCACTTAATACATCCATAATGATTCAGAATTTGAGGGATCATTGCCCATTGGTTAAACAGGTGTGGCTTGCAGACGACTCAGCTGGAGGAGGGAGTATAGTGCACTTATACAACTGGTACAGGCAATTGAGTAAGGAAGCACAAAAGTTTGGTTACCTTGTGAATGGGACAAAGAGCTGGCTTATTGTGAAGTCTAGGGAACTGGCGGAGGAAGCAAAGAGGATGTTTGGAGAGGAAGTCAACATAACGACTGAAGGTCAGCGCCATCTGGGAGCAGTTATTGCGTCGCAAGAATACAAAGATCAGTATTGTGAGGAGAAGGTTCGTGCATGGAAAGAGGAAATCGAACGTCTCTCTGAAATAGCGAAGAGCCAGCCCCATGCGGCGTATATTGCTTTCACAAAAGGCTACAAGTCGAAGTTCACCTACTTCATGCGCACGATTGAATCGTTTGAAGATTATGTCGATCCAATCCAGGAAGTGATTGAAGATTTACTACTCCCTACTTTGTTCGGTCAATCAGAGCCTCTCCCTAACGAGGTGCGCAGATTTGCTACCTTAGCAACGGGTCAAGGGGGTCTAGGCATTCCTGATCTGAAATCCGAGGCACCGCAGCAGTTTGCTGCCTCGAGACTAATAACCACCGCCCACGTAGATTCTATTACATCACAGAGTTCCATCATGGTGCCAGGAGAAAGATCTACGGAGGAGCTAAAGAGGCATCAACAATCACTTAAGAGAGCAAGTGCCAAAGAGAAAATGGATAGCATTGATTCAAGCCTCTCCCCAGGCCTGCTGCGTCTGGTTAATCAATCGAGGGACAAGGGCGCAAGTTCTTGGCTGAATGCGATGCCTCTCGCAGACAAAGGTTTAGCCCTCAACAAGCAAGAGTTCAGAGACTCGCTACGCTTGCGTTATGACTTACCCTTAGTCGATTTACCAAGTCATTGCATATGTGGGGATAAATTCACCGTTAGTCACGCCCTCTCTTGTAAAAAGGGGGGGTTTGTAGCGCAGAGACATGATGGTGTACGGAACTTGTTAACGACATTCATCGACAAGATCTGCAATAATGTCGAAATCGAACCACGCCTTCAACCCCTGGACAACGAGCGATTTCATTTGAGGAGCGCTGTTACAAGTTCTGAGGCAAGGTTGGACATCAAAGCGGGAGGTTTCTGGGCAAGAGGAGTTACGGCATTTTTTGATGTTAGAGTTACGCACGTCAACTCCAAGTGTTACCAGAGCAAGCCAACATCGGAAGTGTTCAAAGAGCAAGAAGAAGAGAAGAAGCGCAAGTACCAGCAGCGGGTGTTAGATGTAGAAATGGGTTCGTTTACGCCTTTAGTGTTTGGAACCAATGGCGGAATGGGAAACGAGTGTCAGCGGTTCTTAAAGCATCTCGCAGACAAGATAGCTCAGAAAGACACCGAGCCTTATCATGTTGTAATCACTTGGCTCAGGACACAGATCTCGTTTGAACTCTTAAGATCGGTACATGCATGCGTCAGAGGTTTGCTACGCCGTTTCGTAGCAAGCTAGAGCAATCATTAGACTGTAAAATAAATGTCACAAGTGCGGATATCTGAAATACGTGTCTATATGCTTTTATACTTAGGGCTTTTTATGGACACTGGTTTAGCCGGCATTAGTATGATTCGATTGCAGGATCTTAATATCTCTGCATAATGGAATTCTTAATTTTATAGAATTTTGAACTTTTATTATTAATTATATCTATTTCCTCTTCTTTAATGTAAGGTTGAGTTACTTCTATTTTTTAGAATTTGTAAATGAATAGTTTTTTCTATCTTCACTTATAATATATAGGATTCTTTTTGCTCTCTAATGAAGGACGAGGGGTTTCTTTTGTAACGGATGGAATTGTAGATAGTGTTTTTGATGAATTGATTAGATTTTTTGTAACAGCAGGTTGATTGTAAATAGGATTTTAATTGAGGTTTTGTAATAAAGATTCTTTTCTCTCGTTTTAAATTAAAAATAATAATAATAATAATAATATTTAACATTCATATTGCGCATTTTCTATAAAAATAATCAAATGCGCATATGGGCGTGGAACTTTTTCCTTTCGACCTAATTTTAATGTCCACATTCATGTGGTTAACACAGAAAAAAAGGAGACCAATTTCGTTGCAAGAATTATTTGAAAATTTTATATCGGCGGTGAGAAAATGAGAAGTGCTAGAGGCCTCCAAGGTGAAAATGAGTGGCAGCGAAAATAAAAAGTTAACAGGAACACATACAGGTTAACCAACTCGGGGATTTCAAAGGGAAATGTCATATAACCAAGAGAGAAATCCGCGAACAACGCATGGAGTGCAGAAACCAATTGATTAAAACAGCTTGTCTTTGATATGAGCCGCTTTGAGCTGTTTACGAAACTGAAACGCAACGATGAAACAAAAGCAAGTGTTCCGCTCACTTCTTTTGCTATTTGAGAACTATACATTTCTTTGGCCGTTGCTTGCAGTCATTCTAACGACTATCATGTAACGCGGGACCCGCACTTGGCAACTAGAGATTTACAATTGTGATTTTGGCTGCATTCCCTGTAGCCAAACGTTTCTCAGATTTAGATAATCCAGACTGTTTCGATTTTCCTGCTAGCCGGAACAAAAATCTGAAATAAGATTGATCCATACAGTAGCTGCTTGATGCTCTGATCTTCTCAAAGACGCTAAATTAAGCGTCTTCTCTTGGAGGGATGGAAAGAAAAATTGCTCTTTAACTAGTGGTGGTTCATACTGAGAATCGTCAACTTAAAATTCACTGGAATTTGATTCAAGAAACTTCAGAAGACAACTGCGAATTCTCAAGTGCTGAGAAGGGCGTTCTAAACACACACACACACACCCACACACACATTGGACACTGTAGTTTTACGGTGAGAAAATGCAAGCGTTTTCGCTTCCCTATTGATTTAGAGTTACAGGGGAACTCGAGTTTAATATACTACAATCCTTTAGCGGCATAGAACAAAGGAGGAGTCAAGATAACTTTTGCCCGAACTAACCTTGAACCGCCGTGTTTATCGATGAACGAGCACGATGTTGCAATCGAAAAGCAGTTTCGTTAAATGGTATAAAAATCTGAAACCAGATTGAGACACCAGTCTGAACGATCCAAGTGCGGAGGTGGATCGTTCAAATTGCAATCTTAGATTGGTTTAGTCCTTAGTGGAACGAAAAATCAAATTTTGGATCGCAAAATCCGGATTTCGATTGGTCAAGAGGAATGCAACTTCACTAGCTCATCAAACCGTTTGATTGACAGCTACCGATTCTTTTACGAGAGTAGTCGGTATTAAACTGGCTTTCCGAAGCCATTATGCACCGTACCTTTCGTTGGTCAAGAGCTAGTACCTGTAACTTCCGCCAAGGACTTTGGCGTCACACTTGACTCGAAATTGACCTTCAATGGCCATATCGCTTCACTAGCGTCCTCTCCTTTGTCAACGTTATTTCAAATAAATAGGGTATGACACTTGATCTCTAAAGATGTACAGTTTACATAATCCTAAATTCTCTAGTATTTAGCAAACTGTTCTATTGCTCGCCGTATGGTCTGGAACTTCTAAAGAAAACATTCATAAACTAAAACTTGTGCAAAGCTTTGCCGGCCGAATACACACAAAAAAGTTTGATCAAATTACACCAGTCTTACATGAACTTGGTTTGCTCACCACCGAAGAGCTACTATGCTTACGTGGTGTATCTATAATCTTTAAATGTCTCAATGGTCTTGCGCCCAACTACTTAAGTACTAAGTTTGTAAAACGCCCAGAAACTCACTCGCATTGCACTAGACAGAACCTCCCTCAGTGCCGGTTCTCCGCCGCATAGTGTTCCTTTCGTTTCGTGGTGTCTAAATATTGGAACAGTCTTCCTAATGATATTAGAAACTCCGCCTCTGTTGAGGTTTTTAAAAGGTGTCCAGGCTTTAGATAATCAGAAGGCGGAAATAGAGTATTTACCCATAGCTTTTTTATCGTTGTAATTAATTGCTTAGTAGCTTTCTATTTTTTCATATTTGTAGTTATAGAAATCAAATTTAATTGTCTTTTATACAATTTTAGATTTTAGATTTTTTTTATACATTAGTTAAGTATAAAAATTCAATGTTCGGTTGCCTGGCTAATTAACTAGAAGTCCCGTAAGTTCTTAAAAATGAACAACTAACACATTCTGGATAATCGTGCGGTGTAACGCCGATAAGCTTTATTGGAAAAGTATACTGGGCCCAAAACATTAAACAGTACACCATGAATAAATTATGGGAGTTTTGGATACGTGTCTATCAAAGAACACTAGGAGGCCAGGAAAAACCTAGCCCACGTGAAGCCGCACCTCTCCCCATTTTTCCTTTGTCGAGGGGAGAGTGCCGCTACACGTAGGCCGGGAAAAACCTAACAAAAAACCCGCAAAAGGGCGGGAAAAAAATATAGGAAACCTGGGTCCGAACCAAGCCCAAAACTCCACGACCCTTTCTACGATGTTATGAAAGGATAATAATTACAACATAAAGTTAAGCTTTTAAACATACATAGATTTTAGCAGTGACAACTGATAATAACTTAGATGCCACACACCCACTCTACAATGTCTTATCGAAATACCTCAATACATGAAATTTCATGTTATAATTAACAGCTAATAATATAAATCAAACAGAAGTCAATTATCTTCTAATACCACGCAGTCGAAGGGAATTTCCAGTAACAAATCAATTATTTAACTGCTCCATCGCTTTAACACAGCAAGCAAAGAAAGACTTGATAGCCATCTTTTAATAATGCGAAATACTGATTGATCAGTATAAAATTTTGGTTCATTTTTCTTTTTAATTTGCTTAACTCTGTACAGTATTAGATACCAAATAGAAGATGGCTCTCTATTGCTGGTTTTCAGTGTCACGCCATTCAAAATAGATCAAAATCAAAATTAAAACCGTTCAATAGATAAAGTCCAGAATCTGGGAAATGAAAGGAGGTACATATACAAAGACCCTCGCAAAGATTCAGGTCAGAGGAATATTTCCTATACGAGATATCCAAAGAAATGTTTTACCCAAACTTATAAAGGTTTGTATGGAGACGCCATGCTCGCGCTCACCTGCTGGATGAGCTCCAACATGGCGGACCGAAACCAACAGAAACATCTGTTACCGAGTTTTGCTACAAAAGCGTGAATTTATTCTTCGAGAAACTCATAAACATTAAAGTAATTCTCTTTCTAATACATGAACTGTTTAGATAGCAAAATTTCCTGAAATAAGTCATTTTTTTAACCTACATGAAAGCTCTCTTGTCCGTCATGTAAATGCCGCGTCACGCAAAAACGTAGAAATTCAAGCGTCCTCTATCACAAAACCAAGAAACCTTTTTGAAGCGAAACTTTGTGTGAAAATTAGTTTTAGCTGCTCTAATGCACCGTGAAAGTAAAATCTCGGTAGGATCGATAGTTTTTTAGTTTGAATTTTAGTGACGACGAGTGAAAACCAACAATACAGACTCCAATGTTTTTTTGCCTGAAAGAAGAAAGACTAACCCCAACATTCACCACGACCTCTTTCATTCTTTTCCTTTCGTTTCCCTTCTTTTCTTGTTAAATCTTTTCTATCTTCTTTTTTTTCTCGGGGGAGGGAGTAATTCTGCACGATGCCCACTTTATGAAGGTTGCTGGGTTTCTTCTTTTCTTTCTTTGGTAAAACCACCCTCTTCTTGGTTATAATCGGTAGGATCCATACGTGTTACTGAGAAGGATAATCATTTATAAGCATACTGAAATTTATACTTCGCGTCAAATAAGTACGTGTAAATGGTGACGAGTGATCATTTGATTACCTAATTATATCATGGGTGGCAACTTACTCTCACAATCATTGTTCATCGAATTGATCATTTAGCGAGAACTCAACGCAATGAACACTTTATAGCTTAAATTTTAGCTTAAGTTCGTATTAAATTTTCACAATTTATCGACAAAATACCTTCTTATAGAATCCTTCTTGATAAGCTCTTTAGTGTGTTTAGGTCTTCTAAACCTGATATCTTCATTCACGATATTTTACTAAACTTTGCCGCCGTCTTGGCACTAACACGTACGGTAGGTAATTATAAAATTGACGCTGAAATTTCGCGCCAAAATTAAGGAGCAATTTGTCATCCATGATATTACGGAAAAAAAAATAAAAACAATTTCTACTCAGCTGACTTAAACAGCGGGAAAATTCGTTTAATTATAAAGCAGGGTAACACCGTGTCCTTATTCACATTTACCTTGATTTAAACCAAGGATAAAATTACACCACAACATTTAGAAAGTCGTTGAAAACCATTTTCTTTTTGTCACGTGATCGTAAGTTCGTCAGTTACTACACTCGACTCGGCTGGTTCAAGAATAATAAGTTCGTTTTCAACTGGAGGTTTTGTGTCGCTCTGTGGAAGCTAAAAAGATAAGAAAAAGAAAGAAAGAAAGGTTCATTATGAAAAGAAACACTTCTACCTCTTCTCTGCAGATTCCCCTTTGTTCTGAAGGTACTTCCTGCGAAGGAGAGATACCATGAAACACTCCACAATGTGATCATCATTAGCAAATGGCTTTCAGACGTCCAACTCCTTGTTACAACTCATGGGAAAAAATGTCAATTATCATTTTAGGCACGCTCAATCGATTTTCTGAAATCGGATCCAAATTTTCAAAGACCCATGGTTTTCTAGGTCCTATTCTCCAACCATCAAGGCGATAGTGCCATTTTCCCATAGAAAACGTAGACGCGAATAACGGCCCTGGGTACAAAAGAAAAAAACTCGTTATACTTACCAGGGATAGTGGGACTTTCAACTGCTCTGTTTCCAAAATTATCTCATTTGCACTTTCATCGATTAGCTCGGCCTTTACTTTCATGAACGACGCATCACTTGGTGGCAAACTAAATGTCATTTTCTCAGGCAATCGCATTTCCTCAATCTTCCGTCTATCGACCTACCATGAATAATATCAGTATACGTTAAGGTCACTAAATAATCCCAATACTTGTGTAATTACGGAATGCCTATTACTATTAATTCGCGCACATATGCAACCGTCGCCCAGTAAACCCCTCCCCCCCTCCCATTTTAGAGTGCCCGTCTATTGATTGGGGGCGTGAAGCGCCATTAGCTAACCAACCCAAATACGTTCCAAAAGACCAGTACAGTCATAATCCAAATGAATAAGATCTTTCTTCTGTTCAAATGACCAAATCATTGACAATTTTATGTTTTCCTTGGCTACTTTAAACTTTTTTCATTTAGAAGGGGACATAAAAGAATCCAAAACATTGTTCGAAATGAAGAGGAAAAGCAGACCCCAATGTGACTGTCATGGTCTATGTGACTTGTGCCCCTTTTCAATGGGGATGGGTGAGGCGCGATAATAATTTGAGGTGCTGGGCAGCTGCACATGTAAACGTCTGATCTCACCCCACTGATTTCTCCGCAATTCATGCAGCCATACCCTAAAAGAGAGGTGGAGGGAAACGTCCCAGTTATCTTTCTAATAGGGTGATGACTGCTGCGGGCCCGAGGGACTATATGTTGGTCCACTTGTCTAAAGGATACATAACCTTTTTCTGTTTGTCTTTCTTCATCCAGATGTGTAACCATATCTAATAACTAACTACTTGTGCTGCTTGGAATAAGTTTGAACTTGCATACTGGCCATGCATAGTTTGGATCAAAATGTGCTTTGATTCTCCCATTTTTTTATTAATTGCTTTTCGTAATAATAAGAAGATATTTCAATTTCATTTGCAGCTCAATCTGATTCTTAAGTAATCATATAAAAAAGGTTCACACTCCGGTTGTCTCCACATAACCCTGGAGAAGTTCAGTAAAGTTTGGGTTATTGGATCCACTGATGCTTGGCTTCCATATATTTCATTTTTGTTTTGTAGTACCTTTACTATAAGTTTGCCCAAATTCAAAGGCTGCCAACATTTACCTGCGTATAGAAGTATTACCTTTTTCACTGCTTGAAAAGATCCCATCTCCAATTTCGCCACAAGAGTCCCTGGTCCCTGCGTTTTTCTCCAGGAGAAATTGTTTGAATAAACAGTGATTAGTGGGATCCTGATCTTTTCCTCCTAAGAAAGCAAGCGTTCAATCAACGCTTAGAAGTTAATTGGTGAAGAACCTTGGTTAAATGGGACAGACATTAAGTTTGAATGAATTATTTCAATGTAAAAAGGTGACTTGTAATAAAGGGGTCGATATAACTAAGAGGCTCGGTGAAGAATAACGTTGATGACAATGACAATAGCCAGTTTGTTTAAGCTGATGACGATTGATACTGATATGATTTTCATTCCTCCATCTGCATTTAACATTATGATGACGATAACCAATAATAAACAACAACCCACACATGATGTGGACAATAGCTAGGGTGCGAACTCGGCTACATTCTTATACCATCCTAGTTCCCTGAGTAGGTTATGTACCTGCAGAAAGGTTTTTCTGTCCACACCAGCTCTCGTTACGTATAGAAAAATCTGCTTGTGGGATACATTGTTCTCATCCATCTCTGATTGAACGTGGCTGAAGATATCGATATTATACCAGTCATCTTCAGACTCAGAATCTATGCATGTTGTTTGCTCAGCCAACGAGACATTGTCTGACATAGCTGCAGAAAAGGCTAGAGAAAAAAAAAAGGGAAATACTATTACTCTGTATATCAGCAGAAAGTTGGCATTTAACGTAAGAGAAGCTAAAAACGATTTACAAAACAAAGAGGGGTTTCATTTTTTGATGTGGCATGGAAGCTAAATTTTTGACATCTTTCTTTGTCATTGATACGTATTAACACTGAGGTTACCCATTTACTTACTGCTCACCCTACAGGCCATAGAAATGCTGAGAGAATTCGTGGCTTAAACCTTAATTAGCAATGACTAAATTCCCTTGCTCTTTATGTTAAAAAAACCCGCTACAAAAAGGTTTCTGAGCTTACGATGTCAGAATAAAAAAGACCAATGCATGGCTTTAGCTTTGCCTTCCAAGGACGCCATCCGCTGAAGCGGCGACAAGGTTATTAGCAGAGCCAGCATGATCATGTTTTTATCGTTGTTTTCTGTCAACCACAGATGAAACTGCAAAACAGAACAACTGTTTAACAATACCATCACTGGCATCATAGCTTGAAAGACAAATAACTTCTTATACTAAGTCTACCTTAGTTTATAGGTCTTGGATAATGTCGTCGTTAATTGTTATCAATCGCTAGCCGGTGGCTATGTCGATTTCAGGCGGTATGGTAAAACTGGCAGGTAATTGACAGGGAGAGTCTTAGGACTACTTTAATCTCGTACCCAGGCCTTTTAGAAATTACGGCGTAATATTGATAAAAAGCCTCAGAGAAAGATAAATGGATGCATTAATGAATGAAAGAAAAAGATATGTGAAAATGTAATACTCATGACGAACACGTTATTAGCTATTTTAAATAAATAATTATTGAGCTAATAGGGGTGTTCAAAATAAACTTTGAACAATGTGACGTTTTCCTACAACTGTCAGAGTGTGTAATCGTAGCTCATTGATTCATCTTGATATTGAGACTTTAGGAATGTTACAAAGAAAACTGGATTACCTTTAAAACATAAAAATGGTAAAGCAATCCCTAGAAAATGGTCTTTTGGTATGTAACTTACGAAATGGAAACGATTTTTAAAGCAAATTTCAATTTTGCAATGTAAGCGATTTTCAAGTTCCTTTTAAGAACAGCTACGAAGTTACCTCGAGTAAGGAAAAGCTTTTGAATAAGCATACTCGCAAGCAGCGTGTGAATTCGAACCGAGTAATCTAATTGTTGATTAAGCCGAAGTCAGGTCCAAGACATTCCAAAGGTTACCTATTACGGGAGCAGATGAAGTGTATGTGTGAACATTCTTCGATCCTATCATCTGTTTCAAGCCGGGTTTGGTACCGTTCTCTGATTTCAAGCTTTGGCCTCCTCACGTATAGAGACGAACGAATCTTATTGCTTTAATTTATAGTACCTGGCGCATATTATCCCTTTTTTGATTGTATACTAGTTCATCCGCTGTTACGCAATCGTTTGGATGCGCTGACTCAATGAAGAAATCTTGAGTTTTTAACCGGAAGAAGTATCGTTTATGAAATATATAAATTTCTATAGGCTGTTACAGGCTCCACTATTAAAACAAAGAAGCTTTCTGGTGTGGTGCATTAGCTAAAGAAACACAGTTTTTTGTAAGTCAAATCGATATCTAAAATTGAATTTAAGATTATGGTGTACAATGTTTAAGTGGTAAAGATAGTAATGTCTTCAAGGTATAGTTTTTAAAAGCAACGAAAAGAAAGAAATAGAGATGACAATAGTTTGTCAGTCGGTGGAAACTCCAACCAAGAATGAAACCGAAAGCTTTAAATTTCCCGTCGCTTATACCGCAGACATGATTTACTCCATGTATTNTCGAACCGAGTAATCTAATTGTTGATTAAGCCGAAGTCAGGTCCAAGACATTCCAAAGGTTACCTATTACGGGAGCAGATGAAGTGTATGTGTGAACATTCTTCGATCCTATCATCTGTTTCAAGCCGGGTTTGGTACCGTTCTCTGATTTCAAGCTTTGGCCTCCTCACGTATAGAGACGAACGAATCTTATTGCTTTAATTTATAGTACCTGGCGCATATTATCCCTTTTTTGATTGTATACTAGTTCATCCGCTGTTACGCAATCGTTTGGATGCGCTGACTCAATGAAGAAATCTTGAGTTTTTAACCGGAAGAAGTATCGTTTATGAAATATATAAATTTCTATAGGCTGTTACAGGCTCCACTATTAAAACAAAGAAGCTTTCTGGTGTGGTGCATTAGCTAAAGAAACACAGTTTTTTGTAAGTCAAATCGATATCTAAAATTGAATTTAAGATTATGGTGTACAATGTTTAAGTGGTAAAGATAGTAATGTCTTCAAGGTATAGTTTTTAAAAGCAACGAAAAGAAAGAAATAGAGATGACAATAGTTTGTCAGTCGGTGGAAACTCCAACCAAGAATGAAACCGAAAGCTTTAAATTTCCCGTCGCTTATACCGCAGACATGATTTACTCCATGTATTCTTTCCCATGGCCAACACGGGTCATTTCCCCTGCATGATATCAGACTAGGGGATTCCCCAAGCAGTATGTTAAGAACCTTTCAGTAAAAAGGTTAACTAGTGCTTTTGAATGAAAGCTTGCTATTCGTCTATGAGGGAATGAATCCCTTTGAAAAAATGTTAAATTTATTGTTATATTTTATTTGTTAATCGAATTAACACGTATTTTTGTCTGATAAAAGCCTGATAATGGCTTCGTGAGTGTGAATTTGATGGCGTGACGCTGACAATTTGGTGAAAAGGAACTTTTGCACGCAACCACGATTACGTCGACATCGATTACACATCATCGATTACAGCTGTGAAAAAGGAAAAAGAGCTT